GGTAATTGGAATTGGTGTAATTACTAGGGTAGTAATTACCAGCCTAGTAATTATATTGTCTAGTAATTACACTGACCTGTTTGGCTGCCACATTGTAATTACACATGCTATTTTCTGTAACTAATATTATGAAAAAATAATTGATTTATATTTTTTCAAATTAATATATTTCAATTGAATTGATCGTAACAACTAAAAGTATGAAGTTTCTACGAACATTATGAAATGCATGTTTGATAAAAAGAATAATATATAAATAAAATGTCATAAATTATTAAATGTTTAACAAAAATATAATCTATCAAGTCTAATTAAAAATCACGTGCAATGTAATTCAATATTACTAAAACAAATGAAACTGAAAATATAACATAGGTTATAAATTCAAAAACAAAAAATTTAACATAATACTCTTATAACAAATTTCAACATAGCAATAAATATGATTTATTTTTATTTTTTCTTAATAAAGAAACGTAAGTCTATAACCTTACTTAACAATAAATTCTATTTTAATTTAAAAATTAGAATATTAATAAAATTATGCTAATGAGAAAATAAGCATGGCATAAAGAAATAGATAATACAAGAAAATTACATAGAATCACGTAAAGTAAGGTTGAGAAACAAGAAGAAAATGAAATATAATAATATATAATTAAAAATAAACTTTTGCAAATTTTTAGAACAATAAAAATAAAAAAGAACTTAAAATAATAGAAAATCAAAAAATTAAAACAAAAAAATTAAAATAGAAATTAAAAAAAAGAAATTAAAAAGTAATCAGGTGGTAATTACCAGCAATTTACAGTCTCTGCCTGTGAATTATAGAGTGTAATTACCCCCTGCCAATTACACTAATTACCTGCTGACCAAGTAATTACATGTCTTTCCAAACATGACAAAATAGTGTAATTACACCAATTACACCAAATCAAATTACTAGGGTGTCCTTCCAAACAGGCCCTAAGTGTATTTTGTTGATAGATGAGTATTTGGTTGATTAGACTAGACTAGACTAGAAAAGGGATATAAAGTTTTATTTCTTGACCTTTTTAACGGACATTTGGGAGAAAAGTTTTGTAAAAGGAAAAATGGAGTCCGAAATCTAAACAAGTCACAAAAAAATAAAAGTGATAAAAATAAGTCATTATTTTAATAAGTAACTAAAATAGGCTTAGTGAAAGAAATTTTTTATTTTATGCAATATTCCAAACATTTTTCGTTAGTCTCATAACGTGTATATTTTAATATATAACGAAACTATTTCTTACACTTTGTAAAGTGAAAGTTTTTCTTACACTTTCTAAAGTGAAAGAAAAAATTATGTTTTACAAAGAGGAATATTTAAATTGTATCTCTTTATGAAACTTTTGCAGTGTTTGTCTTACAATTAAATTGATTTGACATGTCATAAAAATAGAAAAAAATATTAAATTATGTATTTTTATTTTGTTATTCTGAAAACTCCTCCAAGAGATACAATTTATGATGTCATAATATTTTGATAATGAGTCATGTTGGGAAAATCAATAGATTGAGTTATCGAAAATCCATCAACGCTATTACGATTTTCTAATCGGGGATGGACATCGACCGATAAAGGAGAACATTGTTGACTGCTCCTTCCAAACATAAATTTCAAGTATTGTTAAATTGATTTGATCTGTCATTTGGAACCCTCAAAAAGTCGGTCAACGATTCGTCATTATAGATAATCAACTCTCCAAAAATTTACTTGTCCTTGTGATAAAAATGAAGTAGGGTATTTTCCGACTATAATCAAATTTATAATCAGTACTATTTATACCCATTCTTTATTATAAATTGATGAAAGAAATTCATGATATCGGACATTAATTGAATATTTAGCATTGTGTTTGGGAGGATAATTATAATAAACGGTATTTCCGTCATGTATAATTTCGCCATCCCAAGAAATCCAAACTCTAACTTTTGGATAAATGTGACATTGCCATAAAATTATAGTATTTATTTATTTATTTATTTTGATAACATATAAAAAGGAGAAGTTGTAAAAACTCAAAGTTGATTGCACATTACAAGCACCAACATATGTTACAGTCTCTAATTAGAGTTCAACACTTATGCTGGAAGTCGAACCATCATTTGACCTTGCATGACACTGCAAATCAAAGAAAAACACCTAGTTGTCAAACGAGTTTAACTTTTATATACTGACGTTCAGTAACTATGAATAATCATTCATGAAAAATGGAATTAGTAGATTACGTGTTGTAACATGTTAAAATATACTGATGATAGGCTCACCTCTTGACATAATAATAACAGAAATCGGCCAAAACGAATGTTTGAACAATTTCTGCCAAAATGATCATTGGTATCCAAAAGAAGCCCCCTCCACTCAAAGACAGATATGAACCAGATGTATCATAGACCTGCATATGAATAAACTCGGAGACTATTAGTATTGACGGATTCAGAATTTTAAGTCTATGAATATGAAGTGTCATTGAACTCACTAATAGCAACAATAGGTGACAACAAAGTATAAAGTTGCATATTTTCGAAATTTCTACATGCACACACACACACACACGTCCATTTTGTGAAAGCTGCGAGTGCAACTGCATCCGCCTCTGGTTACAAGGGCTAGCATGGGGAAGTGCACAAATAGAGTCGAATCCTAAACTTTTAGTCAGTGAATATGAAGTGTCGTTGCACTCACTACTTGCAACAATTGGTGCGTACAAAGTGTTTATTTTAGAACTTTGTTCACATATTATTGTTCTCGAAAGTAGTGAGTGCAACTTCATCCTCCCCTAGTTATGGGGTTTTGCCACACTCTAACGTGGGAAACTGTATATATCGTGATCTGTATGCGCATTAAGCTTTGGAAATCCAATCTCGAGGGAGGTAAATATAGAACAAATTGATCTGTTTAGTTCAAAACTTATAAGCTACTACAAGAAAAACTCCCAAACAAACCTTAATGATCCAATGAGCACAACTGAAGAATCTTGAAACACCCAATGCGAACACATAATGGGCTGTGAATGGCTCAATAATCTGAAATACAAGAACAGGAAACAGTATTGGTCCTTCATTTAGAAAATTAAGAACGCATGAATTCAAACATTTTTTCTTCTCTTTTCTAATTCATGTGACGGAAAGAACAAATATATATATATGTACCTTGACATTCTGCATCAAGCGAAGCTGAGGCAGCACGGAGACGCCTTCTATATACACAGCAAAAGCCCAGAGTATACTGAGAATAAGATTATTCGTCCGAGGATGGATAAAGAAAGCTATCACCAAAGAAGGTACTATCTGTGGAGAGAAAAACATGATCCAAAAAGCAATGTCATTACTCATGAAGCAATTTTACTTCCAATGTATACTTCACAACTATCTTGCACGAAACAGCTAGATGTAGTACAAACACCATCAGCATCAGGGGTGAAGCTACGTGTAATAAAGGGCTTAATTGAATCCAACTATTTCTTTGTTTTGTTTATATATAAATTATTGAATTCTCTTGGCATTAGATAAACTTCTAGTGTGGTGACGAAGGTTGCTCAAGAGCTGCTTTAGGTCGTAGGTTCTAATCTCAGGTGAGACATTCTTATTCCCATTGTCGTAATTCTTGGCTACGCCTCCATTCAAGAATGCCAAACTTGAGATTTGGACAATCTACATAATTTTAAGAATGTAACCTGAAATGTTGAGCCAATTAAATTCAAAATCTTGGATCCACATCTGGACACGACCGTACTAATACGTTTAGAATCAATAAAAGGATCAACAGACTAACATGCATTTTACTTCAACAACAACAAAAAGAGAAAAAAAGCTCAGGGGAGGGAAAGGTATAAACTACGTACCACGATATATTTCTTCATGTTATCCAAATCTGCCATGTAGGATGACTTCAACTTGTATTTCATCATAAATATAAGCCAGAACGTTGCCACGAGAGTGACAAGGTCTAGTATAGTATGAATATCTCCTTCGATTTGAAGACTACAAAATAATCTTGCAAATAAGAACGTTGCTGTGAGCTGTTGAGTCTTCAATGAAAGGCCTAAGCACAGCAGAAGCAAAAAGTTGTTAGAAGAATGTTGAAAGGGAAAGTTGAGTAACTCAACTTTATTTAATAGCATTAATTGGTCGCCTAGAATAAATAGTAGTAAATAACTTGCTATAACAAACTAAATTACACAAAAGACTAGACATATATAAAAAGATCATTATACTGACTTGTCAGTGTATATAACTTAAATCCATTTGCAAAACGTTTAAAGAATCGAATGAGTTATCTAGTGATTTGTATATGAGACATACAGGCACTTGAAGTGTTCAATGCTCGAACTGTTTTTTCTTTTTTTGCTGTGGTGAATTGTTGCCTATCGCAACAGATTTAAACTATACAAAACTAGAAGCTGCAATCGAGCGGCATGGATTAAATTTGGGTGGGTCAAAACACGGTATGCCAATATCTGAATCATCCATCCAACACATCTAAAGTTTTCTTGCATCAAATAATGGGTCATAATCCAACTGGTGCCCCATAGTTACTCAACATCTGTTTGGTCAAAGTTAGTTTGAAACCGCAGGATTAAGAGTTTGGGGTTCTAAATTTCTTTATTTAAAAAAGGAACTTCTTGTTGAAAGCGGGGTTTGAACCCACAACTCTAGTGTGACAACTCCTTCCTTACCACTTATCCGCAATCAATTTTGTTAGGGATTCACAAGTTAATATATATATTTGGGAAAAGGTACAAGTACCCCTAAACTATGATCGAAATTTCAGAGACGCACCTTAACTAAACTAACCTCCTATTACCCCCCTTGAATCCATTTTTTTTTTTGTAAATTTGTACACCTTTTTGGCTTACATGACATCCAAATATCTCTCACGCGCCTCAATTGCGTGGAGTCACAGAGTGTGACACCTAAGACAAAAGGTGTATCAAATTACAAAAAATAAAATGAGTTCAGGGTAATAAGACCTTAGTTTAATTAAGTATGTCTCTGATATTTCGATCATAATCTAAGGTACTTATGTCTTATCCCTATATATTTATTTAATTTTATAGCATAATTACAGAGTACGAAAAAGCTACTAGATTCGCCCTACCTAGCTCCGCCCCCTACTAGAGTATCATTTTCCCCAAGTAAAACGCTTTTGTCAATATTAGAACAGGTGTTCGGCCAAAGTTTCTGGAGAAAAAAAATACTTCTCTCAGTTTCTAATTTCTGTTACAACTCAAAAGCACTTTTCACTTTTTCCTAAAAGTCTGGCCAAATACCTCAGATTTTTAACTCATAAATTGATTTGCAGAAAAGTAAAACAAATATTTATATGTAAAATTAGTACCTGAGCAAGTCTTGTGTGTTGTCAATTTGTAAATAAGGACCAAAATTCCAACAAAATGTGCGAATTCAGCCAAAACGAAGAAGTGATTGTGTTCATGAATAAGGAGTTTTAGAGTTACTAGTAAAGTAAGAACAGTGAAAACACCCAAAAATGTCTTCACTTTGTTTGATTGTTTTCTAACCCATGAAAATAGCTTCTGCAATGGCCTTTGAACTCCTTTCTGACCCATCTTCTTTACCTCTCTCTCTCTCTCTCTACTTCTTCTGAAAAACTCAATAAATGCATGTATAAAGTGGGGTTTGGTACTATCCAAAAAGAGAGAGAGAGAGAGCACTTTTTCCATGTTTAAATTCATCCTTGTTTGTTCAAAATTGTTTGTCACGATAGAATTATGCGGGTATTAATAAATTATTGATTAGTTATGAGTAAATTTATGTATACTTTTGTTATCTTATCGATTAGTTATGAGTAAATTTATGTACTTTTCTATTTCATAGTAGATGCGCATCTTATTAAAAAAATTTATCTCATGTTATTACTTCATCACTTGCACTTTGTTTAAATGGTTGTTACGTATTTTTTAATAATGTATTGTATCGTACGGTATTGTTTAATAAATACAGTGTTTGAATAGGTTGTAATTTGTTATGTTCTTTGTCATTACCTAATATCACATATTTACAATTTGAATGATAAACCTACAAAAAAGTAGGGTACATGTAGAGCTAGTATGAAAATGTATAGCAAAAGATGAAATATATTTATTAAGTAATAAATAAAGACAAAATGATAGGAAAATATTTAGGTAACATGCAATCACACAAAATCGATTATTACATAAAATGAGTCTTTTTGTATACGATACAATAGAATTTAAGTAACAATCAAAATAGGCACGGTATTTAAACTAACAATACAATACAACGGGTAACAACCACCCAAACAAAGTGTTACTAAATCATAATAGAATTAATTTACTATTTCTAATTTTACCCCTGCAATTATTATGACTTTGGAAGTTTAAATAAATTTTGAAGATCCAATTTTTTTATGAGTCTAATTAATTTAAGCAAAGAAAAAAATAGTAAATATGATCGATCTATTTATAATTTCTTAATCACGATGTAAAATAGAAAGCATCCACCTAACATGAAATGGGAGAGTATTATTTTATGTGAATTTTTATATTGTCAAACAAATATCATACAATTTTATAAATTAATAATTTATTTCTTGTCTATCTACCAAACATAATATAAATTACATAAAAAATAATATATGAATAACATGTTGTTGCTATCAAATAATCCTTTAGAGGTCGTTTTTGAGGTCATTTTATAGCTTGTTAGAGGAAATTTTTACATATAACATGTTGCTGCCATCAAATAATCCTTTGGAGGTCGTTTTTGAGATCATTTTATAGCTTGTTAGAGGAAATTTCTATGCATAAGTTAGAGTTATACTATTTGATTTTAAAAACCAATATTCTTACAAATTATAAAACTGTCATGTGTATTTGAAAAAAATATATATCATTTTTGAGATTCTCATAACATATCTAACAAAAAATTCGACTTCAATCTAATTATGTCCAAACAAACCCTATATCTTAAATTCATTATATTACGAGTGTACGTGTGAATTTATTAATTTTTACTACTAACAAATATTATGTTTTGATGATATTGTAATTGCAAAAATAAAAATAAACTCAGTGGTGAAAATATAAAAACGAAATTTAAAATCCTTAATCATTACATTTTATTTTATTTTACATTGAATAAAGATGGGAGTTGATAGTAGTAGGGATGCAGGTTGACGTAGCAACACCAAAGAAGAAAGAGAGACGTTGGTCTCTTCAACAACGGGTAGATTGTTTAATAAGTTGAATAAATTATTTCAAGATTATAACAAATGGTATCAAGAAAAAATTGATCAAATATGAATCATTTACAAAACCAAACAAATAACTTTTAATTATTGATTAAATACAAGCTACTGTTTTTTTTTAAAAAAATAATCTCTAAAAAGTAAATTTTGACAAAAGCTAATCTCAAAATAACCATATTTTAAAGTTTTTTTGTCTAACATATCTATTTGTGAGAAAGGGATGCTTAACTAATGGATAGATACATTGTGGAATTGATGAAGGATTTTTTTTTTTAATTTGATGTTTGATATTCGTGTAAAATTCAATTGAATTTAAATTTACATATCACAAACTTTTTTTTTTTGACGCATTATTAACAAAAAAAGATTCATTTCTAAAAATTCAAACTCGAAATAATGAGGAAATTAAAATATAAGAATTGTTTATTTATAGCCCTCGTGCAACACGAGAACACCTCTTCTTTTAGGGAAAGTCAATTGCTACTGGATTTTAGTATTTATTTATTTTTATAAAACGAATATTAAAATAATTTTTCTTGAAGAAGAAATAGGATCTGGTTGGTTTTATTTTACAGGGAGTATTTAAATGCGATATGAATCTTCACATAATCCAAAATATTCTTTTGCATTTAAGTTGACAAAGTAAATACTGCCTCCGTTCCTTTTTATATGTCACATTTTTAGATTGTACTTATATTAAGAAATTAAGCAATTTTACTTTTCTGTTCTTATTTAATATTTTCTTAAGTCAATTTTTCAATAAATGATGAATATGCTAGATTTCAAAAATTAAAATGCATTTGGATGACTATTAAAAAAAAATTGAGTTTATTTTTAAAATCATATTTTATAGAATAGAGAATGGAGAGAGTAATTAATCAATGTATGAAGTACTCCAATGAATATTAATTACTTATTAGTTTTTCTAGGTTGGTCAAATTATTTATTTTCAAGACTAATTAACTACTCTATCAACGGTATAATAGGAAGAATATGATAATTTATGTATTGATTTTATGAAATAATAAGTATTATGATCCAACTATTCTTAAGAAATAAATTATTAAAATTATCCTTCGTATTTATGATTTCTTGAGAGAGATGTAAAAAGAAGTGGACAATTAATATAGAACGAATGGAATAATATTCCTCTGTATCAATAGGTGAACTTGGAGAGCTCAACACGCCAAACAAGCTTCGTAGACTATAGGAGTAAGATTTGCACACACCAACCCATTTCAGACCCCATTTGTATGATCTCACCGGATACGTTGTAGAACTTGGAGAGCTCAACATGCCTACCCCACATAGGTAGAAGTAAAATTTGTGTACACTCACTCTCCCACGACTCCACTTGAGGGATCTCACCGAGTATGTTATTGTTGAACTTAGAGAGCTCAACTAAGTAACACTCTTTTATAAAAAAAAGTCTTGAGAGTTTCCTTGTCTTATGAACTTTTCTGGGCTCTGAACCATATTTCGACTTTGTGATAAATCCATAGATAACGATAGAAAATAAACAGGCACTCGAAAACAGGTACATGTTCGAGAATCATTAAGCAACACTTAGTGGTTAGAGATAAAAACCAACAACAATAACACACTTCAGATTTTTCATAATGCTTTTTCATGCTAAGTACAATGCTCAATATTCTTCATTTTGTTTTCTGAATCTCGCAACAGGGGTTTATAAGCTACAGAAATTAGGCGTTTCGTCGTACAATTCTTCAGATGAGCTACAAACATCTTCACCTACAGCCTACAATGGCGATTGCCCGACCATCTCTTCATATAACTTCTCAAACTAAATGCTCATTCATTGCCGGACCAACAAACAGTAATGTAGATTTTGAACTACTTCAAGCAACACAGATGATGGCATGGCAGAAATACGTAAGACGCCTGCTAATCATACCTTTGAAGTCTGAGATCCAGGGGGCAAGAATGAGTCCCACCACCCGGATTCATACTTCGGGTATGGTGCTGTCCATTTTTCCGGTTTTTCAAATTCAATACTAACAGGAGTACATGCCAAAGCTTCTTCTACACTGTCAGCCTCGTAGCCCTCTTGTAAAACTCTGTCTAGCCTCAATTTCATGAACCTGCAAGTTTTGAAAAATAGATCAGGAGAAATATCGAAAATGTGCAACTTCACCCTTCTGCGATATGAAATATCTTAAATTTACATTTACCATCCGTTATACTTTGGGGTCATTCATACCCTTGCCTCTAGCAAATCTTCGCGTAATTGCCCTTGTCTTTGTGGTGGACGGGGTGATTCTACATATCAAAAATACATTGGGGGAAGACCCAATTTTACCCCTCTAGTTTTTTATGGTTTAAATTTACTCACCGTTATACTTCATGTTGGAGTTTCGTCAGGGTCAAGGGCAAGGGCAAGTACGAGATGATTTGATGACGTTGAAGATACAAATGACTCTAAACTATACCAAATGGTAAAGTTAAGATAACTCGTATAGTATAGGGGTATATTTGACCATTTTTCCGTGATTATAACTTGCTTACTAAAGACTGCAATCTTTTGATGATGCATACAGACAGGAAAGTGGAGTAATTAGTATGTCGATTATTTAACAATGACAGCCCCTTACGTGATCCATGGGCCATTCGTTGAAACAAGTGCTACAGCGGGTCTCTTCAGTCTCTTGGTGATATTAGGGAACTTGTCCAAGAACTTTGGCTCAACTACAAGCCAGAAATCTGGTTCCATGTTGCGCTCTTCATAGAGGCGACGACGTTCAAACATTTGCTCCTGGAAATGCTCCTCTTCGTCCAGCATAAATTTGGCATTTGCAACAAGAAAATGGTACTTCTTACTTTCCGTCTCTTGCTGTATATGCAACAGAATACCCGCATCAACATTCCTAACATTGAACTAAAGCAAAATGGCGCCAAATAGGGAGTTACCGAAAATTTGTCTTTTTCCTTTCCAATGAAAGGACCTGTCACAGATGACCAACATATACATTCATAGGCGAGTGAGAGTAGGACTAATAAAAGAACATGAACTACATACCCTGATCCTCTAAGAGATGGTAGTTGGAACTTCAGACTATTCCTCAAAACCGTCACTTTGACCTCCTCAAGGAACTAATTTTCATATTGCTAAATGAAAAATGAACTAAGTTTTGATCAGAGAAGAACTAGTGCAATCACTCAATCAACACAATCAGCCACAGGTTAAACCCAAATCAGTCAGGATTTGCTATATGAATCCTATATAACATTCTGCTCTAAGTTTTATTGCATACAATACTACCTAATTTGCTTATAAAGGCAAATTTACAGGCTTTGCCAATCTCTCACTTATCCCAACACCACATAGGTAGAAGTAAAATTTGTGTACACTCACTCTCCCACGACTCCACTTGAGGGATCTCACCGAGTATGTTATTGTTGAACTTAGAGAGCTCAACTAAGTAACACTCTTTTATAAAAAAAAGTCTTGAGAGTTTCCTTGTCTTATGAACTTTTCTGGGCTCTGAACCATATTTCGACTTTGTGATAAATCCATAGATAACGATAGAAAATAAACAGGCACTCGAAAACAGGTACATGTTCGAGAATCATTAAACAACACTTAGTGGTTAGAGATAAAAACCAACAACAATAACACACTTCAGATTTTTCATAATGCTTTTTCATGCTAAGTACAATGCTCAATATTCTTCATTTTGTTTTCTGAATCTCGCAACAGGGGTTTATAAGCTACAGAAATTAGGCGTTTCGTCGTACAATTCTTCAGATGAGCTACAAACATCTTCACCTACAGCCTACAATGGCGATTGCCCGACCATCTCTTCATATAACTTCTCAAACTAAATGCTCATTCATTGGCGATTGCCCGACCAACAAACAATAATGTAGATTTTGAACTACTTCAAGCAACACAGATGATGGCATGGCAGAAATACGTAAGACGCCTGCTAATCATACCTTTGAAGTCTGAGATCCAGGGGGCAAGAATGAGTCCCACCACCCGGATTCATACTTCGGGTATGGTGCTGTCCATTTTTCCGGTTTTTCAAATTCAATACTAACAGGAGTACATGCCAAAGCTTCTTCTACACTGTCAGCCTCGTAGCTCTCTTGTAAAACCCTGTCTAGCCTCAATTTCATGAACCTGCAAGTTTCAAAAAGTAGATCAGGAGAAATATAGAAAATGTGCAACTTCACCCTTTTGTGATACGAAATATCTTAAATTTACCATCCGTTATACTTTGGGGTCATTCATACCCTTGCCTCTAGCAAATCTTCTCGTAATTGCCCTTGTCTTTGCGGTGGACGGGGTGATTCCACATATCAAAAATACATTGGGGAGAAGACCCAATTTTACCCCTCTAGTTTTTTATGGTTTAAATTTACTCACCGTTATACTTCAGGTTGGAGTTTCATCAGGGCCAAGGGCAAGGGCAAGTACGAGATGATTTGATGACGTTGAAGATACAAATGACTCTAAACTATACCAAATGGTAAAATTAAGATAACTCGTATAGTATAGGGGTATATTTGACCATTTTCCCGTGATTATAACTTGCTTATTAAAGACTGCAATCTTTTGATGATGCATAGGAGTAATTAGTGTCTCGATTATTTAACAATGACAGCCCCTTACGTGATCCATGGGCCATTCGTTGAAACAAGTGCTACAGCGGGTCTCTTCAGTCTCTTGGTGATATTAGGGAACTTGTCCAAGAACTTTGGCTCAACTACAAGCCAGAAATCTGGTTCCATGCTGCGCTCTTCATAGAGGCGACGGCGTTCAAACATTTGCTCCTGGAAATGCTCCTCTTCGTCCAGCATAAATTTGGCATTTGCAACAAGAAAATGGTACTTCTTCCTTTCTGTCTCTTGCTGTATATGCAACAGAAGACCCGCATCAACATTCCTAACATTGAACTAAAGCAAAATGGCGCCAAATAGGGAGTTACCGAAAAATTGTCTTTTTCCATTTCAATGAAATGACCTGTCACAGACGACCAACATATACATTCATAGGCGAGTGAGAGTAGGACTAATAGAAGAACATGAACTACACACCCTGATCCTCTAACAGATGGTTATTGTAACTTCAGTTTGTTCATCAAAATCGTCACTTCGACCACCTCATGGCACTAATATCCATATTGCTAAACAAAAAATGAACTCAGTTTTGATCAGAGAAGAACTAGTGCAATTACTCAATCAACACTACAGTAGAACTCAGTAGTTTTAGTTTAAACCTAGCATTCTTAAGAGATACATCTAAGATGTTCAAATTATTACACCCTCTGTCCCCATTCTTGTTATGTTTTGCTTTTCGAGAGTCGAACTGCATGAACTTTGACCAATATTTTAAGATGTATTTATTCACCATATTGATATAAGAAAGAATTGCAATGTATAGTACTTTTCATATAGTTTTTGAACATCTAATTTTAAAAATATTAAACTGATCGACTTCAATTTAGTTCCGAAGATTAGTCAAATTGACTGTCGAGAAGCGAAACATAATAAGTGTTTTGGGATGGAGGGAGTAATTTAGAACCTAGTAACTCAAAAAGTCGAAAATTCCGAACCCAACATAAAAAATTGGCTGTCACCAGTGCCTATATGGATCCTTCGCCTACCAACATGTTTTTTCTTAGCTTGCATTGGTTCCAAGAGAGTTTTGGCCATTCGGGACAAATAAAGCACAATCAAGAGTTTCACATTCAAGTTTACACAAAGCATGGAAATTGAGAGAGTAAACAAAGACTATAACTTTAACGTGAAACATAAATTTATGCATAAAAGTTCACTAAAATTGCAACAAATAGTAGATACAAACCCACAACTTTAAGGCGACATACATAAACAAACACTTAAACTTGACATAACCGACAACTAAACAACCAACTTTGAGTACACATATCTAGACACCTCAACTAGTCAGCGTCAATTGAACACTCCAACTTACGAAATGATCATCTAATACACTTCCAAAATTTAAGTATCACATCATCATTGGATGTCTACGAAACACAATGGGGACAAGTTGGAGTGTTTAGTCACCGATTGAAACCAAGTTAAGACGTCTAGATGTGCCCCGTCAAAGTTGGAGTGGTTAAATACCAGCTAAGACCTAGTTTGAGTATTTGTTTATGTATAATGTCTAACTTTAAATTTTGTTGTAGGATTAACACCGAAAACCTTAAAATTGAATCCATAAAGCTTAAATACTAAATCCACCTACTACACTATCAGAGAAATTGCAGACATGAATAGCAGGAAAAATTAAACTTTCCACATACATATTTAAACATTTTACTCCCTCCCCTCTATCCCAATTTATTTGACACTTTTCGTTTTTCGAAAGTCAAATACTTGTAAGCAATGATAAGTCACAACAATTGAATGAAAAATTAACGGTAAAAAAAGATAGACTTGATTAAATTTCGAAATTCGAAAAATATCATATAAATTGGGACGGAGAAAGTAGTACATTCTACTTATCTTATAGTTTAATATGAAAATCTTTTTTAATTTCTCAAACTGTGCGTCAAATCAAAATCAGACAAATAAATTGAAAAAGAGTAATGAGCAAAACCTTTTCAGCAGGATCAGAGGAATCAACAGCAGCAACAGCCCTCTTAGTGGTTCTACTTAATTTCCAGCTGCAGTTCTTGAAAAGAGTGTTGTTGGGTGATTGGGAAAACTGGGTACCATGTAAAAGGAGAGAAGGTTTATGAGTAAAATGGGTAGGAGAATTCACTACAGAAGTGCAAAATGAAGCAAGATTCAGAGCTGTTGAAGCTGACATTGTTAACGAGAATGGTGTGTATGATTTTCTCTATGTTTAGAATGGCAAGAGAGAAACAAAGAAGATTACTAAAAGATTGTGTGCCAACTGGGAAAATGTACCAACCTTATCCTACCTTGCACCCCCACCCCCCACAACCCCCACAACCCACTACTATCAAAATAGAGAAAATGACCAAAATAGTCCTTTTACCAAATAGACACCATAAATTCTTGATTTATTGACCCCATAAATCCATAATTATTAGCCATGTCAAACAATAGTTGTCTATTATTGATTCTGCACATTTTGTAAGAAATTATAAATAAAAAGATAATTTTATTATATTACCCTTTTGAATATAATAAATACAATATTTGAAAAATACAATATTTGAAAAATATAATAGGAAAATGACTATAATTAACGATAAGGGTAAATTAGGAACTAAGTGTAAAATTATCTATTGATTTAATAAAGTGAATAAGTATTGTTGGACATCCTAAAATAGTATAGTAGACAAGTATTGTTAGACGGAGAGTATATATTTTAGTTTGGAGTATATTTATCCATCACTCTTTTTATTAGAGGAGTCATTAAATATACGAAATTTAAGAAAGAAAAAAAAAAATTTTAAAAAATTATAGATGTTTGTGAGATTATATGGAAAAATAGACAAACTAAAATTAAATTATTACTAAATATAATAATATGTCTCTGACTAAAAAAGAAATATATCACAAATATTGGGACACAAGGAGTAATAACTTTTGAAATAATATTTCTTCCGTTTTAATTTATTCTACATATTTAACTTAATACATAATTTAATAAAATAAAATAATTTTTTGAATTTTGTGATTTTAAATTAAAGATATGTCAAATATATCGAAATGTCTTTAATCTTGTATCACACGAAAAGTTGTAATTAAAAAATTGCTACAAAAGAAAAAAAATCATTCTTTCTAATACGAACTTAAAAAAAAAGGATGAGTCAAACGAATTGAAACAAAACTATTAAGGGCCCGTTTGGCCATGCGATATGGTCTCATGATTCCAGGAATCATGAGATGAAATTGAAGTTTTGTTTGGATATGATATATGGAATTTTTTGTGTTGTATATTTTCTCATAAACATAAAAATTTCATAAGTTGTAAAACTATTAAAATAGCTCCAATTGTTTATTCAATCTTATTAAATAAACAAAAATTTATAAAATCGCATAATAAATTATTACAAAGTTATTTGTTTTCCACTTAAGTAATTGTTTCATTTAACTTTAATTTTAATAAAAAAAATTGAACATAAATTGTAGTGTACTAGTCTTTAATATAATCCTCTCACACAGTACGGACAATTTTCTCACATTGAACTTGCATTTCTCGATCATGTGACTGAGAAGACGAACCAACATTGTTACTTTGAGCAATTTGTTGGTCAATATCATCCGCAACTATATTTTCATGCTTATGGACCATAAATATTTCATTACTTTAACAATCGGTTGGTGTAAGTTAAAGTGACTATATGTTGGTGAGAATAATAAATTTTATGTCGTTGAGAACAATAAATTTTAAAAAGTAATGATGTGATTATAAATTTTATTTACATATGAAATAAATGGTTAGTCGATATAAATGTGGGGTTGTTTTAACAAAATATAAACTTGTGGATCAATTTTTATATTAAAAAATTTCAAATCATGATATAGAATTACCATATAATTCGATATCATGGTTTTTGGGAATATAGAATTACATCTCATGATATGGAATCAGCGTAAAATCGCATGTCCAAACGCTGATTCCATCTCACGATACCATATCGTGATATGATATCACATGACCAAACGCCTACTTAACTATAATCCGATAACATATGTTAAAAGTAGTTATTTACCCATTTGTCCCCAATAAAGGAAAATATGTACTTCATTTTTTACCCTAACTATTTATACTATTTAACAAAAGGAAAAGGATTGGCCAAAAAATGTACTCCCTCCGTCCCTTTTTAGTTGTCCACTTTAGAAATGGCACACAGATTAAGGCAACAATGATTAGCACAGTGAAGTTACAATTTTACCCTTATGACAACTTTTCACTTCAAAATTACAACCACTTATTTGAATTCAAGTGAAATAAATTGGAGGGAAACAACATACACTTTTATAATTTTCAAGAAGTGTAAATAAGGGTATAATAGGAAAAAATTTGTTGTCCTTTCTTGATTTGTCAAAATGGACAACTAAATAGGGACAACTAAAAAAGGAAATATGGACAAGTAAATAGGGACGGAGGGAGTAGTAAATTACTGACCTACCCTCTCGACCCAAGCTTCTCTTCTATTCCCTCTTTTATACGTATTCAGTTATAAGAATAAAAATTTACTTTTTTAAAAAATAAATAAATTGTTGTCCATGATCGTTTATCGTTTCCCTAAAACCTACGTGTGATTTATTCGCCATCACCGACTCATCGCCGGCGTATTCTCCGATGGCATGCCACCACCGTTCGGCGTATTCTCCGATGGCACGCAACTGTAGAACAAGTGACGGAGAACCTCAAACGCCAGAGGAAGGAGAAATTATTGACGATGTTCCTGTGGTATGTTTCAACAATATTTCTTCGATTAATTTTGGTTTAAATGCAAAGTTTTAACTTGAAGCAACAAGTTTTTTTTGATTTTGTGCAAAATTTATGTAACTAATGTTGTTTCAGCTGCTTGATTAATAAATATGTAGCACAACAACGAGAGACATGATAATTACCTATTCCCATACTGAGCATTGATTACATTGGGGACAAAGTTACTCTAGGCGTGTTGGTGTTCTCATGGCTGAGGTCTTTCTTTTTATGTTTTTGTTTGTTTGTTTGTGAAAATTAAACCTTGTCTTATAAAATATTTAGGAAAAAGTTACATTTATGTTTTAATTCTGCGCAGAATGCTAGTTATGTAATTGAATTGGATTCTAAACCACGCAAGGTTCAAGTAAGTCGAAAGCATAAGAGCAGCAAAGATTACTATGCTAGTGATTTGCAGGTTGAAAGAAAACCCGGAAAGAGGCATAGGGTCTCATCTTCTCAGAATGAAGTTAATGAGTCACATAGAGGAAGATGGCAATCCGAAAGCATTTTGGAGGAGTATGCATATGAGATGGAAAGGGAAGTATATACAAGTAACTTGGATGATGATATAACTGGACATTTCAGGGACTATCACCATGGATATCGGGAATCCTCGAAGGAGCATAAATCTAGTTACAGCAGACGCATGCGAGAGAAAGATAGGGAGCGAGAGTTGGAAAGGGAAAGGGAAAGAGAGAGAGGGAGAGAGAAGAAAAGAGAGAAAGCTCAATATGAAGAACAAAAATATGAGAGGGAGAGGGAGGAGAGAGGAAGGAGGAAGAGGGACAGGGAAAGCAGAGGACCAAGTAGGGAGGATAGGGATAGATACAATGATAGGTCCAGTAGGCAGTGGAAATTTGATGACCTTGATGACGATGGCAATGCTTACCATAGACGTTATGAGACTGACAATGAGAGAGACAGGGCAGCTAATCTCCTCAAATTTGGAAAGCAAAAAACTCAAGAGACAGAGAGTGAGAAACCTAAAAGGTATTGGCAATTCTATGTTTTTTTATACTAAAAAAATAGTCAGTGTATTTAGTTTCCTGTTTCTTTAATACTGGTTTTTGTTTTCATTGCAGAGATGAAGTTGAACAGAAGGACTATCAGGAAAAAATTGCTTTCCAACTTGCTCAACAGGAAGAGGAAGAAGAAGATGAACTTGATAGAATTAAGGAGGAGAGCAGAAGGCGCAGACAAGCTATTCTTGAAAAGTATAAGAATCAGCCTTCACAAAAATCCGGAGACAATGGTAAGTTATTTGACATGTGATTTTTGTAAAATATAATTCAATTCTGTTTTTCTGTATTTCTTCTTGCCTGTTGTAGAGCTCTATCTGAAGAGGGAAGAGTCTTTGGTTGGTTGTGTTCCAATTTCCAACTTCTTTTGAGCCAAGGGACTACCGGAAACAATCTCTCTACCTCAAAAAGGTAGGGGTAAGGTAGGCGTGCATCCTACCCAACCCAGACCCCACTTGTGGGATTATATTGGGTATGTTGTTGTTATTGTTATTGACTTATTAATCACCCAGTTTTGCTAAGCAATTTAACTGCCAAGTTCTTGCTTTATTTTGGATCCGAACTCTTATAGGTGCATGTTATAAAACTTAGGATGTTGAGTTGGATACTGTCTTCACTTCAGAGTTTATGAGATTGTCATTGCACCTGAGCTTGTTCAGAGCTATTTGCTGTGATTTTCTCTGCTATTCCTCTGCATGATTCTCTCTCTTGTTGAGTTTCTGGTCTCTAATTGTGTTTTTTATTTATTGGCATTAGCTGAGGTTCATGTGAATCGGTCTACTGAGAAGCATGCAGCTGGAGATAGTGCTGTACCAGAGCCCATTGATGGTCCAACCAATGGTGCAAATGTACATGGTGATGAGCCAACATTTTATTCTGGGAAATCACCTTTGCCAGGAGGTCATAATGCTGATGAGAAGGCTTCTGGAGCTGGTGGACTGGGACAGGGTACTCCAGAGGTAGATGTGTTCACTTGACCCTGAGATTGAAATGGGTTTTTCTTTTCTGGTTGTGCTCATTCTTCTTTTTTGTTTTATTTTATCTTCCAAACTGTAAATTTATGACACATGAGTCTAACTCAACCCCAAAAGGTAGCTCATGATGGGAGAATTGCCCAAGCCCATCTAATCAGATGACTAGTCCTTTCCCCAACCAATGTGAGACTTTTACCTACTCTAACACCCAACTAGAGCGTGGACCAGGAGTGCAAACGGGGATAGACCTGTCTCTGATACCATGTAAAAATATGGCACCTGGGCCTAACTCAACCCCAAAAGCTCCTTTCCCCTTTTGTTAGGGATTGTTTTAGAATTATCGATGAAATCTTCCCCACTGGGCTCAAATACTTTGGAATGCTGATAATGCGGTTTACTTCTTCTGATCATAAGTCATTACTTTGCAGTTCTCAACAGAGGAGCTAGTGAAGACGCTTGAGAAAAAAATTGAACGTCTCCAACAGCAACCACAGGTTAGAATTTGTGCTCATTTTTTTCCCAATCTTTCAACACTAGTTTCTGTGAGCTCGTAATGCTTCTCCCGTTCATTAGGGGTTTGTTTTAAAATTAGTTGATGAGATAATACTTCTAAATGCTGATATTGCAGCTTTTCTGATCATAGTCATTACTTTGCAGTTTTCAACAGAGGAGCTAGTGAAGGAGCTTTCTAAACAAAAAGAAAATTTCAAACAGCATCAACAGGAGCATGAGGATGGAGTTAAGCAACAGGTTAGAATTTAACTCGAATACTTTTGAGAATAACCTGTTGAATATAGTTTGCCAACGGAATTTCTTGCAACTGGGCTCAAATACTTTGGCATGCTGATAATTCTCAAAAAAAATAAAAAATACTTTGGCATGCTGATAATACAGCTTACTTTTCTGATCATTTGTCATTACTTTGCAGTTTCCAACAGAGGAGCTAGTGAAAGAGCTTGCGAAACAACTTGAATATCTCCAACAGCATCAACCGGAGTATAATGACCAAGTTAAGCAACAGGTTGGTATAGCTTTTTCTCCTTCAGCATTTTTCCTAAATGCTGGCTTCCTCTATCTGATGATTGACCTACTGTGTTAACACTTTACAGAGTGAGAGGTCGGCTGACATGTTTTGTGACGATATATTTGGAGAATCACCTGCTGCCATTCCGAAAATGGTGAGTCTGTCTTGGAAACATTGTCGGAGATTATCATTATTATTATATTAATTCAAACAAAATGTGAGTGTCCCTTTCTTTCCTACTGAACCCAAAATGCAACGTAAAAATGGGGTACCATTTATTGAAATGATGACTACAAAATCTTTTATTTTATTATTATATGTTTCTAGTTGAAGGTTATTCCCTTTGTCCATATTGTGGAAGTGTATTACTTGGTGGCAGTTTTTGCTATTATTGTTCAGTTTAGAGTGTGATATCTAGGAATCATGTATTGTTTGAACTCTATTGATTCTATGAATCCCTCTACCTTGTGCTGTATGCTCCAAGGGAAAACCCTGGCCTATAAGTGAGAAAAAAAGAGGATTGTTCTGTTCTTTGTACTCGTGCTTAGACTGAATTGTAGGAATTTATTGTGCCTATGGAGAGTCCTTTCTTTGTCAAATCAGGCTGTAATAAGTAAACAAATATCATGTTTGTGTGGTTTTATCTGTTTTGCAGGGCAAAGGAGATGGCATGCCGACCGAGCGCAATTGTCTTCATGATAACTGGAATGATCTGGAAGGGTATTATAGTAAGTATTTAGTCTCACATTTTGCTTGGATCCTTCTTATTTGAGCTTTTACTTCAGAGCATGTTGACACTTCTAAATTTGTTTTTTTCTCCCTCTTCCTTGATATTTGCTCATGACAGTTCCTTCATTCTGTTATTTGATATGTCATACTGCAAGTTGACATTGTTACCTCAAAAAAGTAGCTTTATCCTTCTGCTTATTTTTGTCAACTAATCCTGTAATGGCTGGTAACTGTTGTCTTAGTTGATGGTCTAATTCTTTCTCATCGTTTTTTGCAGGATACCGATTCGGAGAAATTCTTGATGGCCGTTATGAGATTCTTGCTGCTCATGGGAAAGGCGTCTTTTCTACTGTCGTTCGAGCTAAAGATTTGAAGGCTAGACCCGGTGACCCGACAGAAGTAGCTATAAAAATCATTCGTAATAATGATACGATGTGAGATAGTCTATTAATTTCTCCATTGTTTGCCGACCTTGCTTGTTCTTTTTGGTGTCCTAATTTTGTTGCTTCTGCTCATCAGGTATAAAGCGGGTATGGAAGAGTTGGTCATATTGAAGAAGCTGGTTGCTGCAGATCCTAAAGACAAGCGCCGCTGTGTTCATTTAATCTCTAGCTTCAAGTACCGGAATCATCTTTGTCTAGTATTTGAGTCTCTCTGGATGAATCTCCGTGGGCTCCAGAAGAAGTTTGGGCGTAACATTGGACTCAGCCTCGACGTTGTGAGGCTTTATGCGAAGCAACTTTTCAGTGCTTTGAAGCATCTAAAGAGTTGTGGCGTGCTTCATTGTGATATTAAACCCGACAACATCTTGGTAAGTGGAATGTTTGAGTATTCTATCTTTTGCCGGCTTATTCACCCACTTTGCATCTGCTGAGAGTAGCTCTTCATTACTTTGCTTTTGTATGCATATGATGACTTTTCTGTATTTAATTGTTAAGGTAAATGAAGCGAAAGACAAGCTGAAGCTTTGTGTCTTTGGCAATGCTATGTTTGCTGGCAAAAACGAAATCACTCCATACCTCGTGAGCCGCTTTTATCGCGCCCCCGAGATCAGTAAGTATCAATTCTCAAGATTTACCATCTATTTATTTTTTTGACCTTCCTTTCACTTTTTTTTTGTTTGATGCTCCATTGTTTTGATCCCAAGTAGTTGTATGGATCTGTCTCTTTTGTTTGCTAATGTATTTTTTCTTGTTGCAGTACTTGGCTTGTCATACGATCATCCAATGGATATTTGGTCAGTAGGTTGCTGTTTGTTTGAGCTTTATGCTGGGAAAGTCTTATTTCCAGGTCGTTCTAATAATGACATGCTCCGTCTTCATATGGAACTGAAAGGTCCATTTCCAAAGAAGATGCTTAGAAAGGTTTGTCTTAAGACATTCTCTATATTACCCCAATCTGAACAAAATCATTCATAGGCTGGTCATTAATTTGCTGTGGACAATTCTGTTATGATGATTGCATTAGGTAGCTGCTTTTATAATTGTAATAAGTACTGACATGATATAGCTAGTATGGAAACAATAATACTTTTTGTTCTTCTTTTATCACAGGGTGCATTTACATATCAGCATTTTGACCAAGATCTGAACTTCCTTGCCACTGAAGAGGATCCTGTTACAAAGAAGGTATGTCTTGTAGACCCTTAGGCCTGTCTTGTCGATTCCTGATAAACAACCCTTTATAATGATGAATGGTAATAACTTTGCTGTACTTCTAAGTTTTGGATGTGATTGTATTTATTTGCAGGCTATTAGGAAGCTGATTGTCAACATCAAGCCGAAAGATATCAGTTCAGTAATTTCAGGTGACCCAGGTGAAGAATTAAAGATGTTGGCTCACTTTAAAGATTTGATGGAGAGAATATTTGTGTTAGATCCTCTAAGGAGAATCACTGTTTCCCAGGCATTAGAGCATCCATTCATCACGAAGAAGTGAACGACAATGATGATGTAACACCTCAAATTTTGTAAATTTATTATGTGCCTTTAGATGATACTGTTTTTATAGAAACTATTTTTTTTTTTATCACTTCTCTTGGATTTAAATTTTATTTGAAAAAGAAGAGAAGACTTGTTATATCTTGTTGAATCTTTGAAGTCCATTTTTGTGACCCATTTGATATAAATCGTACTAACTTTCTACCCATCTAAGATAACTAGATAAGCCCTTTATTAACAAAACCCCTTTTTAGTTTTCAGAAGTCACTTGCTTCTTCTAATCCTACATTGGAGAGCTCTCAATCGGCACAAGTGCTATTCTCCAACTATCATCAAGATCATATTTTTGTTGCATAAAATTTCTTGTTTCCATCTTTTGAATATATGTTGGAATGTTGGCTCCAATAATCAATAGGTTTTGAATTTGTGAAGTAACTCTCTCAAACTTGTGGTAAGCTTCTTATACAACATCTTTTAGTGAAATATTCAAGTGTTCTTTTGTTAAAAAAATTGAGATCTTGAAAATAAGGAATTTAATCCTGTGTATGAACTAAACAGTGAGTAATTTGCTCATATCTTTTTACCAATAACTTGGATTGAGGTGATTCAATAGACTGTAGAAAGATAAAAGAAATATCCATAACTTTCATATGTTTTATGAAAATTCTTAATTCCTCTGTTTACTGTGTGAAAAATGGGGCACAAAGCAGGCAGCGTTTCTGGCAGATTTTTATTCTTAAAGTTTTATGAATGGTTGTGGCCCATTTAGTTCCCCTTTTGATATTCATCATGATTTGCTTTAAACCTCTTCAGATTTCAGACCCTAAGTGGGTGTTTGGTTGTGTATTAAGGTACTAAAGCTACTTACTCTAGCTAAGGAGGTCGACATAATTGTTTGATTCTTTGCTTTGAGGATCTATACTTCCTTGATGTTGTTTGAGCTCTAGGAACACTAAAGCTTCGATGTTTGCACATAAACTTGAATTTTCCTTTCAATTTATTTCGCTTAGATATTATTCCTTGAGACCAAGGGTCTATCAGAAACCACCTCTCTACCTCCCAAGGTAAGGGTGTTCAGCTTACATTGTACCCTCCCTAGACCCCACTTGTTGGATTACACTGGGTATGCTGATGTTGTTGTTGTCATATTGATTTTGTTGCTACTTTACTAGTTTACTTGTTTTGTCGGTTCAGAAAGTATGTCTCGACTCTTGGACACTTGCATAAATTAGTTATCACTGAGTGGACAATTTTGTAGCTGGGTTATGAATACGTTAACATCACATTGGTGTAAACGGGAAATAGTTTTTGTAAGATAATTTAACTCACCCACATATAAGGATTGCTAGAGCACTATTGCATTCTTTTGGGACTTTGTCCTTCTTGTGATAGTGACTATCACTTATTTTGACATGTCACTTGGAATAGTTTGGATCTTGAGCATCTTGACTTTGGATTTACGATTCATCTTATTTATGGACTTACGTCCAATTTAAGTATGAAACTATGAATAAAAAGCCACTTTCCTACTTCAGCTCAGATTCTAAAAGATGGTTTACAAAGAATATCTCCATGCCATTTGGTCTAGAAGGAATTTCAGAGTCTTAGTGCAGAAAGAGAACTACAGATAGACTAGCTTGGGAAATAGCTTGCATTCTAAGAGTTGTGTTCTAGAAGCTATCCTTTTGATAATGTTGTTTACATTCCATAGATAGCAGGTAGTGTTTTTTGATGTATAAGTGACTTTTATATGGAACAGGAAGGTGCAATGTAGCTTATTTGTGGTTCTTATCATTCACTACTTGGTGATTAATACACGTGACTAGTTACCAAAAAAAATCCACTTCCAACATGACTTTTTATCGTCTTGATTTTTTGGGTGATGATCCTACTTGATTAAGACTCCGGCTCTTCTTTTTTAATCAATAATGCTTTGATGTAATTGCTTGACGTAGTATTAGGTAAAATTAACTAATTGGTGGAATTTCGAATTAGCTCTGGGAAGCTTCTTGACACTTGAAATTTTTAATATTTGCATCTTGAACTACTTTATGGTTTGATATTTGATTGTCTTGAAGCATCTACCTTCATTAAGTATTTGATGGTGATTTTGATAAGCTCATTTCTAGAATTCATATCTTGAACGCCTTACTTAGCTTTAGCTAAATTCATGTGTCTAAGTTTGATATGATATATATTGCAGTGTTCTATTTTATGGGAATTGGAGAAATTAATGGCTCCAAACCCAAAGTTTGTGTGCCACTAAGCTTTATGTTTAGCGATAGTTTGTTACTATTGTAGGTGAATGGCTCCAACCCCTTGCTTTCACTAGTAAAAGTGAGTGCCAAAGAAATTTAATTTAAAAATAAGTCAAAAGCCAAAAGTAGGGTATCATCTACTTGTGACTTTTAGTTTTTGACTTCTAAGTTACTTTTTATAAGTCCAACCAAACAGGCAGTTAAACCTGAGACTCACTTCATTGACCATTTGGGCACACCTTCAGTGTTTTAATTGATTCAATTCTTGTTTGAAGTAAAAGTCTTTAGCTTTCTTTGTGCAGAAACTTAACTCCATTTTGGTCATCAAAATCTCACACTTGATACCATCCCTTACTCTGTGCTATAACATTGTGGATGTCCAAGTATGGAGGTATTTTGGGTAGTGAAAAAATGATCTTAGGATTATTGATATTTAATTTCTAAAAAAATGACCTCTGTAGATTTTTATGTGGATATTTTGAAGACTTTCCACTTGAATTAGAGGCTTCTTTGATGTGTATCTTAGGAGGGGGATTGAGGGTTGGAGCCTAAAAAGGATACTTTTAGGATATTCTTCAAACGTTTTTGATGTGTCATTTTTGTGGGTGTAGATGAGTACATAACTAGATCAATACTAACAAAGAAGTTTTAGGACGACATTAGCAATTAGCTTGTCGAGCACAATTGAGAAGATGGCAATGTCATTTTTGTGGGTGATTTGTGGGATAACGAGACTAAAATGGTACTGGTAATATTGTATTCCTCAGCATTAAGGATATGCTGGAGACCTTCAAAAGAGGAGCAGAATAAGAGAATAAGGGAGAAACTACTTACAGAGAGCTAACAGATCTACAGGCTCTAATTCCTCTATATCTGTTTCTTTACACCAAAAAAAGAAAGATACAACGCAATTCCATTTAACTTTATGAATGGAATTGGACTTATCTTCAAAAGGAAATGGAAGCAAAGGTTTGTGGTGTTCTACTCTCTCTCTCTCTCTCCACAGTCCACCAAATGCAATGTGGAATGAATTTCCACCATCTCTTCTGGCTCTTGCTTCCACCTCTTCTAATCCAGCAGCTCAAAAGATCCGCAGTGTGCTCAGGCATGGTCCATTTTGTGTCTGTGAGAATAAGAAATAAATTCCATAACTGAGCAACGCTACCAATATATATATATATATATATATGTTTTATTCCTGATACTAAGTTCCATATCAAGTGTGGTTTGTATTGCGTTAGAAAGCGTAACTTAAGAAGGGTGGGTTTGTAGACATGGCAAAGTTATGTCATAATAGTAGTAGTGAAGTGAGACAGTGCCTTCGGTGTGTCAGGGAAATGTTGGATGAGGACACTAAAGAAGGATCTCTAGTAAAGCGAGTGGTGGGAGAATGAGAGACTTTGGTAGCACGAAAAGATTAGAGAAAAATGAGGAAAGCAAGATTTGAATGGGAGAGATGAGTTTAGGAAGTCTCAAAGGGTCTGTCAAGGGTTTTTGAAGGTGGGGATGTTCGATTATGTCACACATTGAGTAGTATAAAAAGGTTGCAAGTTGGGGAAGACAAACATAGAGGAAAGTATGCGACTTGCTGAATCTTGAATGTATACTACTTTTGTTTCTCTAAACTCAATTATTCAAGACATAATCTCTTGTGATCCTCTTTTGACAGGAAAATTGAAGTCCGTGCAGATAGACCATGATGATGGCTTAACTGCAGTGTATAGAAAAGCTTCTGATGTTTGTAGAAGAGAAACTCGAGAAGAAAAGCTTGACGGCTCACAAGAAATTTGACATATTAACTTCATGATGCATCTGATGGAAATTGATTGATTTTGTTTATATCTGGATCTTCTCTTTTACAATAACTCATAATCCATTGAGTACATTTGTTTGCCCATCAAAAAAATGAGAACCCTTTGAATAAGCTGTGGTACTTTCTCATTTAATAATTGCAGTTTATAAAAAGCAATTAGTATATTTAACAGCAGCTATTTCCTGTTTTTTTCTGGCACAGGTAGGTAGATATCCTTTTGGTTCTGCTTTGTGTAAGAAAGCGATGTGATTCCTCGACTGTTTTATGCTGCTGGAGGAGAAAGAACATTTGCTTACCAGCTCATTAGCCACATCAAGGATTCTATACTACTGTTGTTGAGGGCTCACTTTAGTTTACCCCGAGTCACCGACTGGAACTCCCTGTCATCTGAAGTAACAAGGATCAAGCCTATGCTAATGATTATTCTAATCAGGCCGGCTAAGCATCCTATAAGGTTAGCACATATGGTTGCTCAGAAGGTAATCCTGGCCCTGGTGGAGGAAATGAAAATCTCGCGATGGCCTTCAGATCTTTTTTTGGATCTTGCACCAACAATTTTGCTGAAGTTACTGCTATCCTAGTAGGTATGACACTAACAGTTTGCCAGTGCACTGATAATGGCTATCAATAATATGATGGATTCTCAGTGGTAAATCAAGAAATATAGTAGAAAAGATCAAAGTCTTGAAAGAGAAAGGAGAATTATGTTTTGTGCATTTGCTATAGAGAAAGAAAATATTGTTGTTGATGCCATAGCTAACTGGAGTCAAAAGCTTACAAAATACCCACTTTAAAGATGGATGAGGACCAAATTATCAACTTCAGAGTTAGGACTTGAAAAAAGTTCTTTGATGTGTAGTTTACTTGTGTCTGTTTGTTTGATTATTCATGGATGCTTTACAAGATAAATGATTTAACCTGTAATTTTTTGTGTAGGCTGGAGCAACAACTCTTCTGTCTTTTGAAGCTGTGGTGGATAGGTTTGTTATCCCCTAACTACATGTATTCACCTTTTGGTTGTTAATATACAGGTAGGGGTCGCTAAATCCGAAAAAATGAGCTAAAAGTGTCTTATAGGTTTCCAATTAAGAAAAAGGACAAGTTGGCCCCATTACTTTTTCTCTACTTTTTTATTTTTAATATTAATAAAAAGACTGAACTAATAACATCTTTCGTAGTTGTCCTCACAACTACGGATAGTTGTTGGACTAAAGTGTAAAAGTTAAAAGTTTGGGACTATTGAGAAAACATCTTTTAACCTGATTAATACTATTTGTCACTTCTACTCAATTTTTAAGACTTGAATGACTCCTACCTAATTGACTCACTAGTTTGTTCCTTTTAATAGACCTTCCCGCTAAACCCCTACCACTTTGGTGAATTAAAATTGAGTCATTAGCGCGAATGCTCTTGTTTTGGGGTGATTTCTAATTTTTGCCCTTTGAGTAACAAAAATTTAGCCAAAAATACCCGACATGAAAAATTTGCGAGACACAAATTATGCCAACGAGAGGAGAAGTCTCGAGCCGCAAAGTTGTGTTATAAGACATAAGTTCCATTTCAGAACATTAGGCCTTAACAACGGCAATCTGTGCAAAAACTTGATTAAAAATAGAAGGGAAAAAATGTTGTTATTGCAATTTGAACTTACGACATCTTCACCACATGACAATTACTTTTACTTTTGCACCAAGGCATCCCATAACAATGACAATATGTTAAAAAGCCTAAATAACAAGATGAAACTGCTATATTAAACTACTTTCAAAGAGCTATAGAATGCTCTTGAAAATATGTCATCATTAGTCCCATATAACAAGATGAAACTGCCATAATAAACAACTTTTAATTCGAACTGTTAGTTGTTATAAGCAACACAAAGAAAATGGATTAGTGCAGTAGACACAAAGAAAATGAAAAATATTGCATACAAACAAGTTTATTCAGGAGACAAAAAAGCCAAAACGTAAAATGCAAGTTCATAAGTTTTTTTTTTGGTAAGAAAATAAAAATAAAAATTGACAATCATGGTGTCCAAACCTTCCACGAAATAACTATCACCTTCCACTAGTTATAGTTACCACGTATTAGGATAGCGGATAGATGGAAAGAGATCATCTGCTAGGATTTGAATTGAGACCTTATGATTCTTAATTCACTTTATCGACCAATTATACCACACCCTTGATAAGTCATATTTTGGAAGGCACAATTTTTTTTTTGACCAAACAGAGAAGGCATGATTATAGATGTTGAAGGATATTCAGAAAATGTCTTATTTCATGAAACATGCATTTATCTCAGTCAGTTAGAACTTAACTGAAAATTAAATTCAAATGATTCTAAAGACTAACTTAATAAACTAATTTCACGGGATATTTGTTCCCTCCAACCAACAAGTATCAATTAACTTTATCTACTAATGCTAGAACAAATGAGAAGAAATCATCTAGTGTTTTTCTAAGCTAGGATTGAACCTGAGACCTCATGGTGCTCAAACCCACGTCATTGACCACTAGGTCGCACCTTGGTGCAAAACATAAGTTATTACAACAGTCAAATTTTTAACTTGCATCCCAGATAATAATACCTTCATTCAGGACAAGGCATAGGACTCGAGCAAAGCTTTAAATTCAATGCTGCACTATAATAATGAATTACTCCCTCCGTCCATTTTTATTTTGCTTCTCAAAAGTCAATTTGACTAGTTTTCAAAGTTAAATTAGATTACATTAATTTGATATTTTAAACAAAAAATTCAGATATTCAAAAACTATACGAAAAGTACTATAAATTGCAATTTTTTGCATATCAATATGATGAAAAAATACATCGTAAAATATTAGTAAAAGTTTTTATAATTTGGCTCTAAAAAAGGAAACTATGACAATTAAAAGTGGACGGAGTCAGTATTAGTTTGCATTTCTCATTTTCATCACATGCATGTTGTCATTTATACGGTTATTAAAAGAGTAGCACATCTGTTTGTGTTTAATTTTTGACTGGATATTAATAAGATAGGAGTATGAGACAAGTATTTTCCATAGTTGAGTTCCAAAACTCATTGTATGTTATTCAATATTTCTGCTTATGTCCAAACACTACTCACAGATCATCATATATATATATATAAACCTCCAGAAATGTGTTCTAAAATAATTCAAATATTGTGTTGACCTAAAATATCCTATCAATTGTACGTTTTGAACAAGTTCTATTTTAAAATATTCAGCCCAGGGGAATCAGCCGTCTTGACTACCACAATAGTGTATTTATCTCTCCCCTAATTACCTTTTATAATGATAATTATTTTAAAAATATACGAAACATAGCTGCAAATCCATAAAACTTGATCTTCCCCTCATTATTATGTTTCTTCTGTTCTCTCCAGCTACTTTATTTTCTTCAACCCCCTCTTATATTTTTATTAAGTGAGTTGAATTAAGCAAATCAAAATAGATTGAGTTAATTTTATAGATGATTAATCCACGCCTACTAATAATGTAACTGCAATTAAATCATATTAAAAAGATATTTACTGCAACTACCTTTGTAGTATTAACTATGAAGCACATAGTAACCAAATATGTCACAAATAATAAAATACGAATCGTAGATCTCTCCATCTGAATAAAGTCAACTCTACAAATTCTAAAGAACGTCTAAAAGCACTAATTTCCCGCTATGCGCAGATTGAGGAAAGGGTCGTATGTCTATTATACACAACTATATTGTGCATATCTAAAGAATGTCTCAAATTGCAAAATCAACTATAAGTGACTAGTTGCACCAGTTGATAAGGATGCTCCAGAAACCATGTCAGCTTGATAAAAATACTTCCTCTTTTCGAATAGGAATTGATTCGATCTTATTATTAGAATATTCAAATTCAACTGAATATACTGTTTTCAAGAAGGAATCACCATCACCAGTGGAAGTTGAACCAGGCGATCTCTTCCTCCTGAAGTACAGAAAAATGAAGAAAAAGCAGTCAATCACAGGGAAGGAAATAGAGAAGGTAAGGAACCAATTTCCTTGTTCAAGCCGGTATTTAATAAGTAGTAAGTAAGTGAGAAGTCGATTCTTTTATGTTGAGAAAAGAAATCACTTGCTAAGATGCTTTCAATCTTACTTGTGCTCATATATCAAAACCTAATCCCTGTTCAAACTACCTCATCTGTGAGTCCAAAGCCAAACATGTAGTCTTCTTTTTGTGATCGACCTGAACAAACGATAAAAGAACACATTTAGGACAATAATGAAAGTTATACAGCCAAACTGTGAGAGATTGATTGTCTTCCAAGTAGTAAAAGCAAGAAGGAAAAGAATAGATAGAGGGGTGTGCCCCTTATCTACCAAGTTTTTATCCATGCGCCTCTCATAAAAAAGGTGGGACGAAATCAAGAAGCTTTTCATATTTCGGCGTCATTGAGGGAAGGAGAAATGTCCTCAACCCAAAATGAAAGTCATTGGGAACATGTATTCTGTGAAGGAGCTACGACAAGATAGAGAAGTCTAGATGCAACCTACCTCGGCTGATAAAATGAAATTAAGACCCACGTTCAAGCACTCTTCCAAGAAACCAGCAACACATCCATCTTCCTTCTGAGACAACACTGTAATGAATGCAAAATATTGAAACAATATGTTAAATTCATGATAACCATGGTTGATTAGAAGTCCTAACGCTGTTGCAATGAAGCCACAAAAGCAAGATCAATTAATTGAGTTCTCATAACTATTGCAAAACGCATAATAGCAGCCCACAAAAACTTTCTATATGACTATTGGGCACCAAAGGGTATAGCCTAGTAGTCAATGAAGTGGATTAAGAACCATGTGGTCTCGAATCAAATCCCAGTGAAGGCAAAAAAGCTAGTTGATTTCTTTCCATTTATATAGGCCTTGGTGGACAAAATTACAGGTACCAGTGTTGGTGGGTGATAGTAGGTACACCGTGGAATTAGTATAGGTGTGTGTTAGTTGGCCCGAACACCATTGAAATCCAATACAATAAAACAAAAGTTTTTAATGTCAACATTGAAAGTCAAGAGAATTACTTTAGTTATATGCTAGTGCGAACTAGATTCATTTTATATCTTTAGGTTAATAGCACAAATTTCCCTAGTTCGGTCATAATTAGGGGTTGGCATGGTATGGTAGATACCAAAACTGAAATTTTTGACACCACAGTTCCGATAATATGATATTTGGCATGCGTATTTAAAAAATTTGGTATTCGACATTTATAACAAGAATACTCTGTGCAACTTTCTGAACATAACTTGGTGCAACCATTCCTGTACTAGCAACTTGCCCTGCATCAACCTGCATATAAATTAATAGATATTTTTTCTGGGAGGGTTTACTCAGAAACATGAATGTTTTGATGTTCCTGTATATTAATAGCACTGAAAATGATATTACTAGACTTATACTCGCTCTAGACCATATTAAGTGAATTGTTTAAGTATGGCGCAACCCTTAAGAAAAATATTTAAGGACATAAAATTAAAGACCATTTTCTACTATTACCTTTTTGATTATTTTCAAACTAGTCTCCTAGAAAATGTAAAGAAGTTAAGAATCTCATTAAATGAAGAGTAAATATGGAAAAGAGTTCCAACAATTTTCATGAACTTTGAATAATTCACTTAATATGGACTATACGGAGTAATGTGACACATAAGGGAACTTACCACTATTCCTTTTTTAAGAATATCAGTATGGTCACCATTTTTTCTCATATTAAGAGTGCAATGACATTTGATTTCTAAGAAAAAGAAGAATGGCAAGAAAAACTCAAACCAAAATTGATGTACCTCCTCATTAGGTTGTGTTGAAAGCTCAAACAATGTTCTAATTGCCATCAACTTTAGCAAATGCATAGGCTGTCATTTCTTTTGCAGGGATAAAAGGAAATTGTATCACAGCGATAGCGTAGCCGAATAAACCAAACAAAATATCACTTCTTATTTTTTGAGTGAAGCTCTGGTATCATGTCAAGGACAGAAGGATTCTCCCTTACAACATCTATCAAAAAACCAGTTGTAGTTGCATCAAATGAGAAGCCCCTTCCATCCATTTCCTTCATAAAAGATGCCATTTCACTAATTTTGTTGCACCTGAGAAATCCTTGCACAATAACATTATAAGTGACATTGTTTGGAGAACAACCGTTGTCTTCCATTTTTCTTAGAATATATTTAGCTTCATCAAACAACCCTTCAAAACAAAATCCATTAATCATTATAGTGTATGTTCTCACATCTGGGAGTAATCCAATGAAAGAAAGCTTCTTGAAAACAGCATGTGCTTTGTTGAGTTTACCATTTTTGCACAATCCGTTAATGACAACCCTATAAAATGCAATATTAGTATATTCTTTGTTTCTTTCTAACTTATTAACGAGTGCCATAGCTTCTTCAACAAGTCCGTACTTATAATAACCATTGAGCAAAGTGACATGAATGTATATATCAGGCTTGGTCCCTGCAGTTAGCATCTCAGCGTAAATTTGCTTTGCATCACCAGTTCTTCCAACTTCAAAAAGACCTTGCAAGATCGTATTGTAGGTAAAATTATCGGGTTTTGATCCCTTTTGGGAAATTTCACAAAACAATTGCATGGCCTCATCCACTTTCTTTTTCTTACAGTATCCCTTTATTAGTACGTTATAGCTAATAATGTCGGTCTCAATGCCCTTATCTATCATGATACTAAAAATTCTCCTTGCTCTATCTAGTTGACCACGCAAACAATATCCATCCATCAATGCATTGTAGGTGATTGTATTAGGCTCTACACCCTTTTCGACCATGTGTTTCATTACTTCCTCAGCATCTTTGACTTTCCCTTCTTTGCATAGTCCATCTGTTATTATGTTTAAGGTATGCACATCTGGATAAATATTAAGGTTCACCATCTCATAGAACAAACTCGTAACCTTTTCCCACTGACCAAACTTACACAAACCATCAATTATTGAATTATATGTGACTATGTCTGGAGGAATGTCTTTCTGCTTCATCTCGTTCAGAATATTGATAGCAGCATCTAAGTTTCCATCTTTGCAAAGAGCATCTATAACAATGCTGTAGATATATATGGTGGGCTCAGTATTACCTTGTTCCATTAACCGGAGCAAACTTAAAGTCTTCTGAGTATGACCCCTTTTGCTTAGCCCATTCATGACGATTGCATACATGACTTCGTCAGGCTCACAAATCTTGTCTCTCACCAACTTCTTGAACAATTCAACTGCATCTTTGACCTTATTTTGAGCAAAGATTCCTTTTAATAGGGTGTTAAAGGTAACAGTATTAAATGGAATGCCATTCTTCAAGTAAATGGGTAACACCGAAAATGCACAATCAACCCGATACATCAGGCAATAACTATTAATCATGATATTTAAGATGAAATCACTAATTGGGATGCCCAATTTCAGCATTTGTCGAAAAAGAGAAAGGGCACCAGAGTAATGTTTCATCTTTATCATAGTCTTAAACAATTGAGAGAAATGGACAACTGAAGGAAGAGGCTTCATTGTAACCATTTGATGGAAGAGAGTAACAGCATCATCTAAATTGCTACTATTTACACCAAATTTATCCATTACTGAAATGGATTTTTTACTGTAACGGCATGAAGAATAAGCTCTAATTGTAAATGCCGAACCAGAAATGGAAGAGATAAAGGGAATACCATTGCAATTGCGCAGAGAAATCCTCCTCATCTTCTTCAATGGCTGTATCTCCGTGTGCCCTAATTTTGCAAGAAACTAATACATTCAGCTTCTTTGGATTTTTTTTTTGTTTGCCATTCGCTCATTCCCATCCCTAATATTAGAGCACGACTAAATTTAAATTTACCTCGAAAAATCTTAGCAACCATCCAAAAAAAGGCAAGTGTCGTTACGCTGTTAATTTATTTTTTTTCATTTTATTTTTGAATTATTATTTAATAATCTTATTGTATACTGTTATTTTTTTTTAAAAAAAATATTGTGTACCCTATGTTTATTTATAGTGTTATAAATTTATTCTTTATATTATTGATGTGTGATATTATGTAACAACATAATCGATACATTTCATTCAAATATTATATTAACTAAAACAATACAATATATTATGTAACAATATATAATAATCATCAAAACAATCTGCAATTAATACACTATGAAAGGTTGTTTGCTTGCTCGTTAAGAAGTAAGTTATTTATGTATTAAAATTAATATTATAACTAATAACATGCTTAAGATTAGTATTTTAGTTGCTATGCATAAAATTAAATACGTTAATTGATTACCATTTTACAATCTCACAAATTATTATAAATGTATAAACTAGGTGAGATCTATTTAGTCCCCCCTTGTCCCCCTATTTACTTGTCAATTTTTGACTTGACACACCTATTAAGAAAATAATAATTGACATAATGAGTTTACTATTTTATTCTTATTAATTGATAGAATTTCAAAATCAAGTTACTCATTAAAGGGGTTCTACCTTTTTCAAAAACATTAACTCTCTAAATAAATTGAGCGTATAATAAATTAAAAAAAATATTATCTTTTCTTAATTTGTCAAAAATGACAAGTAGAAAGGGACAAATAAAGAATCAAAATTGAACAAGTAAGAACGTTACATAGGAGAAAAATAAAATGAAGTATACTACATGAATAATTAAGTCTTCATCTAGGTGAATAACTCTAACTAGCGAAAAAACAACCCCTTAAAGGGTAATTTGTTATGTATAAAATAACTCTTACTTAAAATATACATTTTAATTATTTGGATTTGAACATGAGATCTTATGATTCTCAATCCACTTTATCGATCAATTATACCACCCCCTTGATAAGTCATATTTTTGGAAAACACAACTTTTTTTTTGACCTAACAGAGAAGGCATGATTATAGATGTTGAAGGATATTCAGAAAATGTGTCTTATTTCATGAAACATGCATTTATCTCAGTTAGTTAGAACTCAACTTAAAATTAAATTCAAATGATTCTAAAGACTAACTTCATAAACTAAACTTAGAAGGAAATATATGTGTTACTCAAATCTTAAAGTGTTTACAAGATTGAATATTTCATAGACAACTAAAAACATACTCCCTCCGTCCCTATTTACTTGTCCATATTTCCTTTTTTGGTTGTCCCTATTTAGTTGTCCATTTTGACAAATCAAGAAAGGACAACAAATTTTTTCCTATTATACCCTTATTTACACTTCTTGAAAATTGTAAAAGTGTATGTTGTTTCCCTCCAATTTATTTCACTTGAATTCAAATAAGTGGTTGTAATTTTGAAGTGAAAAGTTGTCATAGGGTAAAATTGTAACTTCACTGTGCTAATCATTGTTGCCTTAATCTGTGTGCCATTTCTAAAATGGACAACTAAAAAGGGATGGAGAGAGTATCTGATAGTCAAAGATGCGTAGTACATGTGTTGTTGGTGGGAGGTAGCATGTACTTGCTGAATAGTTGAAGGTACACACAAGTGGGTCAGAACAGTACCGTCATTAAAAAAAAATTAATGACAACTATGATAAAGCTAACACATGGAGATATGATCATGTAACAATTTCAACATTACATTTGCGTCCACGCAACCAAAGTTCTCATAACAGAAGCAACATTATTACACCCCAGACTAATAAGTGCATTAGAAAGATTAGTTACCATACCTAAAGAATTGGTAAGTGTGCATTTAAGTACAACAACAAAACAAATAAGTCTCAATCCCAAATCCCTGGATTTTCACTAATCACATCATACAATAAAAGCACATGGATAATGTAAAACCCAAAATCTTGGGTTGTAAAACATAAACTTTATATTTATTGATAACCGTGGTGTCTAGGCCAACTACAAGTGACTAGTTGCACCAGTTGATAAGGATGCTCCAGAAACAATGTCAGCTTGATAAATATACTTCCTCTTTTCGAATAGGAATTGATTTGATCTTATTATTAGAATATTCAGATTCAATAGAAAATACTGTTTTCAAGAAGGAATCACCATCACCAGTGGAAGTTGAACCTGGCGATCTCTATCTCCTCAAGTATGGAAAAAGGAAGAAAAAGCAGCCAAACACAGGGAAGGAAATAGAGAAGGTAAGGGACCACTTTCCTTGTTCAAGCTGGTATTTAATGAGTAAGTAGTAAGTAAGTGAGAAGTCGATTCTTTTATCGTTGAGAAAACAGATCACTTGCTAAGATGCTTTCAATTTTACTTGTGCTTATATATCAAAACCTAATCCCTGTTCAAACTACCTCATCTGTTCTCTAACTGTGAGTCCAAAGCCAAACTTGTAGTCTTCTTTTTTGATTGACCTGAACAAGCGATAAAGAACACATTTAGGACAATAATGAAAGTTATACAGCCAAACTGTGAGAGATTGATTGTATTCGAATTAGTAAAAGCAAGAAGGAAAATAATAGATAGAGGGGTGTGCCCCTTATCTACCAAGTTTTTATCCATGCGCCTCTCAGAAAAAAGGTGGGAGGAAATCAAGAAGCTTTTCATATTTCGGCATCATTGAGGGACGGAGTAACATCCTCAACCCAAAATTAAAGTCATTGGGAACATGTATTCTGTGAAGGAGCCACGACAAGATAGAGAAGTCAAGATGCAACCTACCTTGGCTGATAAAATGAAATTAAGACCCACGTTCAAGCGCTCTTCCAAGAAACCAGCAACACATCCATCTTCCTTCTGAGACAACATTGTAATGAATGCATCATATTGAAACACTATGTTAAATTCATGATAACCATGGTTGATTAGAAGTCCTAATGTTGTTGCAATGAAGCCACAAAAGCAAGATCAACTAAACGAGTTCTCAAAACTATTGCATAACGCATAATAGCAGCCCACAAAAAGTGTCTATATGACTATTGTGCACCAAAGGGTGTGGCCTAGGAGTCAATGAAGTGGATTAAGAACCATGTGGTCTCGAATCAAATCCCAGTGAAGGCAAAAAAGATAGTTGATCTCTTTCCATCTATATAACCCTTGGTGGACAAAATTACAGGTACCATTGTTGGTGGGAGATAGTAGGTACACCGTGAAATTAGTATAGGTGTGTGTTAGTTGGCCCGAACACCATTGAAATCCAATACAATAAAACAAAAGTTTTTAATGTCTACAATGAAAGTCAAGAGAATTACTTTAGTTATATGCTAGTGCGAACTAGATTCATTTAATATATTCAGGTTAATAGCACAAATTTCCATAGTTCGATCATAATTAGGGGTTGGCATGGTATGGTAGATACCAAAACTGAAATTTTTGACACCACACTTCCAATATTATGATATTTGGCATGCCTATTTAAAATTTTTGGTATTCGACATTTATAACAAGAATACTCAGTGCAACTTTTCCACTATTACCCTTTTGATTATTTTCAAACTAGTCTCCTAGAAAATGTTAAAAAGTTAAGAATCTCATTAAATGAAGAGTAACTATGGAAAAGAGTTCCAACAATTTTCGTGAACTTTGAATAATTCGCTTACTTTGAACTACGAAAAAAGTCTCAATAATTCACTTAATTTGGACTACACGGAGTAATGTGACACATAAGGGAACTTACCACTATTCCTTTTTTAAGAATATCAGTATGGTCACCATTTTTTCTCATATTAAGAGTGCAATGACATTTGATTTCTAAGAAAAAGAAGAATGGTAAGAAAAACTCAAACCAAATTGATGTACCTCCTCATTAGGTTGTGTTGAAAGCTCAAACAATGTTCTAATTGCCATCAACTTTAGCAAATGCATAGGCTGTCATTTCTTTTGCAGGGATAAAAGGAAATTGTATGACAGCGATAGCGTAGCCGAATAAACCAAACAAAATATCACTTCTTATTTTTTGAGTGAAGCTCTGGTATCATGTCAAGGACAGAAGGATTCTCCCTTACAACATCTATCAAAAAACCAGTTGTAGTTGCATCAAATGAGAAGCCCCTTCCATCCATTTCCTTCATAAAAGATGCCATTTCACTAATTTTGTTGCACCTGAGAAATCCTTTCACAATAACATTATAAGTGACATTGTTTGGAGAACAACCGTTGTCTTCCATTTTTCTTAGAATATATTTAGCTTCATCAAACAACCCTTCAAGACAAAATCCATTAATCATTATAGTGTATGTTATCACATCCGGGAGTAATCCAATGAAAGAAAGCTTCTTGAAAACAGCATGCGCTTCGTGGAGTTTACCATTTTTGCACAATCCGTTAATGACAACACTATAAAATGCAATATTAGTATACTCTTTGTTTCTTTCTAACTTATTAAAGAGTGCCATAGCTTCTTCAACAAGTCCGTACTTATAATAACCATTGAGCAAAGTGACATGACTGTATATATCAGGCTTGGTCCCTGCAGATAGCATCTCAGCGTAAATTTGCTTTGCATCACCAGTTCTTCCAACTTCAGAAAGACCTTGCAAGATCGTATTGTAGGTCAAATTATTGGGTTTTGATCCCTTTTGAGAAATTTCACAAAACAATTGCATGGCCTCATCCACTTTCTTTTTCTTACAGTATCCCTTTATTAGTATGTTATAGCTAATAATGTCGGTCTCAATGCCCTTATCTATCATGATACTAAAAATTCTCCTTGCTCTATCTAGTTGACCACGCAAACAATATCCATCCATCAATGCATTGTAGGTGATTGTATTAGGCTCTACACCCCTTTTTCGACCCATGTGTTTCATTACTTCCTCAGCATCTTTGACTTTCCCTGCTTTGCATAGTCCATCTGTTATTATGTTGAAGGTATGCACATCTGGATACATATTAAGGTTCACCATCTCTGAGAACAAAGTTTAACCTTTTCCCACTGACCGAGCTTACACAAACCATCAATTATTGAATTATATGTGACTATGTTTGGAAGAACGTCTTTCTGCTTCATCTCGTTCAGAATGTTGATAGCAGCATCTAAGTTTCCATCTTTGCAAAGAGCGTCTATAACAATGTTGTAGATATATATGTTGGGCTCAGTATTACCTTGTTCCATTAACCGGAGCAAACTTAAAGTCTTCTGAGTATGACCCCTTTTGCTGAGCCCATTCATTACTGTTGCATACATGATTTCATCGGGATCACAAATCTTCTCTCTCACCAATTTTTTGAACAATTCAACAGCATCTTTAACCTTATTTTCAGCAAAGATTCCCCTTATTAGAGTTGTAAAGGTAACACTATTAAACGGAATGCCATTCTTCAAGTAAATAGGTAACACCGAAAATCCAAAATCAGCACGATGCATCAGGCAATAACTATTAATCACACTAGTCAAGATGAACCCATTAATTGGAATGCCCAATTTCCACATTTGTCGGAAAAGAGAAAGGACAGGTGAGTAATGCTTCATACTTATCATAGTCTTAAACAATTTAGAGAAATCGACAACTGAAGGAAGAGGCTTCATTCTAACCATTTGATGGAAGAGAGTAACAGCATCATCTAAATTGCCACTATTTACACCAAGTTTATCCTTTACTGAAATTGATTTGTTACTGTAATGGCATGAAGAACAAGCTCTAAATGTAAATGCCGAACCAGAGATGGAAGAGATAAAGGGAATACCATTGCAACTCCGCAGAGAAATTCTCTTCATCTTTTTCAATGGCTGTATCTCCGTGTGCCCTAATTTTGCAAGAAACTTATATACAGCTTCTTCTTTGGAGTTTGGATTTTTCTTTTGGTTTGTCGCTCCGGTGCTACTCATATTAGAGCCCAATTAAATTTAAATTAACAATGCAATCGGTAATAACTATCCAAACAAATGAACAAGGTAGTATCATTACCTTGTTAATTTATTTTTTTCATTTTATCTTCGGGTTATTATTTAATAATTTTATTTTATATTATTATTTTTTTCTAATAATTCTATGGTCGAACCTATATTTATTTATAGTGTTATAAATTTATTCTTTAGATTATTGATGTGTGAAATTATATAACAACATGCTCGATACATTTCATTCAAATATTATATTAATCAAAACAATACAATACATTATTTAACAATATATAACAATCATCTAAACAAGTTGCAACTAATACACTATGAAGGGTTATTTGCTTACTCGTTAAGAAGTAAGTTATTTATGTATTAAAAGTAATATAACTAATAACATGCTTAGTAGTATTTTAGTTGTTATGCATAAAATTAAATACATTAATTGATTACCAATTTACAGTCTCACAAATTAATACACGTATAAATGTATAAACTAGGTGAGATCTATTTACTCCCCCTTGTCCCTATTTACTTGTCAATTTTTGACTTAACACACCTATTAAAAAAAAAATTGACATAGTGAGTTTACTATTTTACCCTATTAATTGATAGAATTTCAAAATCATTTTACTCATTAAAGGGGTTCTACCTTTTTCAAAAACATTAACTCTCTAAATAGATTGAGCATATATAAGTAAAAAAAAACATTATTTTTTCTTGATTTGTCAAAAATAACAAGTAAAAAGGGACAAATAAAGAATCAAAATTGAATAAGTAAAAAGGTTATATAGGGGGGAAATGAAACGAAGTATACTACATGAATAATTAAGGCTTCATCTAAGTAAATAACTCATACTTAAAATATATATTTTAAGAGTTAATATCTTAAAAGGTCATTGAACTATAAGAATTTATCTTATGAAGTCACTGAACTTCGTTTTATATCAATAAAATTACTCAACTTAAGATTTATATAATATAATAACCTAACGAGAAATCCCTAGATTTGGTGAATCGATATCTAATATCAATTTGTAGGCATGTTATGCAAGTTGAGTTAATATCTTAAAAGGTTTATATCTTCAAAAATCACTCAATTATATTTATCAATAAAATAAATTTGACATGACAAAAGAAATTATTTTTCTTATTTCATGTAAACATGAACTCCACAAATAAACAAAATAATTAACATAGTTATTTTTATCATTACCTCTAATTTCACACACTGTGACGCACTCCACAAATAAACAAAATAATTAACATAGTTATTTTATCATTACCTCTAATTTCACAAACTGTGACAAGCTAAAATTAACCTCATTCGCAATAATTGATTTTGGGTTTGATTAGTTCCAAGAATTGGCAGCAATTCAATGAAGAACTAGAATCCAGTGATGATGACCCTCCATTGGAGTTAATCAAGAAAGCTTCGGAAGATGAAATGGCAGTGGTGTTAATTGGACTACTGCTATCTTCGGTCAAGATCCACTGAAGTCACTATCTGATTACCCATCTTTGAAATGAATAAAAATAATTGAGGGATTCATAATAATTCCATTTCCACCATTAGAGCGTCAGCTATCAAAGTTGAGCTCTGTATTTGTAATAATTTGTGTATATAAAAATGTTATTCCTTAAGAATTGGGTTCTATTTTCAACTTGTAGGTTTTAACTTGCTTATCACTTATATTAAATTGATAATAACTTATTGTCTTCCCTATTGCCCAGTGCTCACAGGCCACAAACCTCTAGAAATTTTCACATTTTTCAAAAAAATATTGTATATTTAATTTGTGGGTTATATATTTATATGACATATAAAATAATTTATTTGTAGTTGAATGATTTTTGAAGATAAAAGTTTAAAGTTGAGTGATTTTCTTGATACAAAACAAAGTTCAAAGACTTTACTAGATAAATTGTCATAGTTCAATGATCTTTTAAGATATTAACTCTATATTTTAATTATGTGGGATGATAAAATAATAACTACACACAATAATCAATTTGGCCGTACTTTTACAATTAATTTATTTGGAAAAATGTTATTTTTAAAAGTGGTTTTAAAAAAATACTTATGATGAAAAACAACATGTGTTTGGGTAATAAATTAAAAAAAACACTTTCGAAACAATTAGTGTTTAATCAAAAAATTTAAAAATGCTTCTAAGCCAGTGCTCACAGGCCACAAACCTCTAGAAATTTTCACATTTTTCAAAAAAATATTGTATATTTAATTTGTGGGTTATATATTTATATGACATATAAAATAATTTATTTGTAGTTGAATGATTTTTGAAGATAAAAGTTTAAAGTTGAGTGATTTTCTTGATACAAAACAAAGTTCAAAGACTTTACTAGATAAATTGTCATAGTTCAATGATCTTTTAAGATATTAACTCTATATTTTAATTATGTGGGATGATAAAATAATAACTACACACAATAATCAATTTGGCCGTACTTTTACAATTAATTTATTTGGAAAAATGTTATTTTTAAAAGTGGTTTTAAAAAAATACTTATGATGAAAAACAACATGTGTTTGGGTAATAAATTAAAAAAAACACTTTCGAAACAATTAGTGTTTAATCAAAAAATTTAAAAATGCTTCTAAGTATATTTTTCTCAAAGGTATTTTTCAAAAAAAAAAAAGTGTTTATAAAGAAAAAAAAACTACCTTTTTGGCTCATGGAACTCTCAAAGATTTAGCCAGCCATTTCTTTTAAAAAATAATAATAATAAACATTTTTCGACCTCCTAAAAACTTATCCAAACAAACTACTAGTGTGCTAAATTTTAGATAAAGCCACTAAAATCCTAAATATGATATTGAAATACTAAATTTTTAATGCATGAATAATTCTCTTTCTAACTAGTATTCAAACAACCCCTTATATTTTAAAAATTAAATTCTTGTCATTTTATAATATTGAAATTCCACAAAAATATAAAAGTAGAATTTTCTATACCCTCCAAAATCGAACACCATAATCCCTTAAAATGGTCGTGTAAGTAAATAGATTTTAAAAATATGAGGTAGAGGAATGAAAAACAAACCAAATTCAAAGTGCAAGAAAGCAATTACTTGTAATTACTTGTGCTATGTCAATAATGCATGCAATTGAATCATATCAATAAAAATATTTATTGCAATTACTTCATTTTTTATTTATCAACTATCCTTTTTGATAACCCATGATATTTGAACCAACTATCGCATACTTGTTTCCTCCCCGCAATAAATACTAGATATTTTTATTTGTAAAAACTAAAATAGTGGAAAGAAATCACATAATACTTTCGTGCAAGATATCCCCAAAAATTTGATAAAAGCCTAAGCATCTACCTAATTCTATCACCTTCATAATTCCCTATGCTATATAGTATTACACCGACGACATTATCTCAAGAGAATTAGAAATTGACTATAGAAAATTCATATAGTCTGAAACAGACATAGATGATTGACACTTCCTTTTTATAAGGATGGTATCTAAACCACCTCGACTATTTCACTAGATGCTTGCTATCTCCCACCATCACAAATACTAGACGAAGAAAATTACTAACTGTTATCTTTGTTGGAATCTGAACTATGATTTCCCCTTGTTTTCACAAAGCAGGTATTCAAACACCTTCAAAATCTCTAAACACTACATTAAATTTAACCATAGAATTATTAAGCATATAGCATCCAGTAAAATCAGAATGGTAGATCTCTTTATCAAAATAAAGTCAACTCTACAATTCTAAACTGTCTAAAAGAATTTTCCGAAATTGCAAAAATCAACTATTAGTGACTAGTTGCACCAGTTGATGAAATGTATGTTCCAGAACCAATGTCGCTCGATAAAAATACAAAACTGATGTTTCGATTCTTTTATCGCTGAGAAAAAGCATCACTTGTTAAGATGCTTTCAATTTTAATCTTGTGCTCATATGCTAATACCTAATCCCTGTTTAAGCTGCCTCCTCTATTCTCCAACTGTGAGTCCAAAACCGAACTTGTAGTCTTTCTTTTTGTGATCGACCTGAACAAGCGATAAGGAACACAGTTAGGACACCAATGAAAGTCATTCTACCAAACTGTGAGATTGGATTCCAACAAGTATAAGCATGAAGGAGGGAAATAGATAAGAGGGGTGTGCCCCTAATATAAGAGTTTCAATCCATGCACTAGCTGCCTTAAGAAATTTCACGGTTATCCGAAGGAAAAGAAAACAAGAATAGGTGAAACTTAGAACAGGTATGTTGTAAAGGAGCTACAACAAGATTTAAAAAAAAAAACATAAGCCACTTACCTCAGCTGAAAGAATGAAATTAAGACCCATGTTCAAGCGCTCTTCCAAGAAAGCAGCTACACAACCATTGGAATCAATCTTCCCTCTGAGACGGCACTGCGATGCACGCATAATGTTGATTCAGTAAACACAGACAAGAATGAGAAAGGTTGATTAGATGTCCCAACATGGTCGCAATGCAGTCACAAATATAAGATTGACTTAATGAGCTTTCATTAATCATAACCCCTTGCAAAACGCATAACAACAGCCCACAAAAAGTTTCTACATGTCTCTGCACCTAAGGGTGACCTAGTAGTCAATGAAGTGATTTGAGAACCATGAGAGGTCACTGTTCAAATCTCAGCAAGAGGCAAAAACACTAGTTGATTTCTCCCATCCATCTAAAGCCTAGGTGGACAAAATTTCTCGGTACATGTATTGGTCGGAGGTAGTAGGTACACATTGGAATTAGTCAAGGTGCGCACAAGTTGTCCCCGACACCACAGTTATCCAACAACAACAACATACCCCGTGTAATCTCACAAGTGGAATCTAGGAAGGGTAGGATGTACGCAAACCTTAGCCCTACCTTTGTAGAAGAGAGATATTGTTTCTAATACACCCTCGGCTCAAAAGGAATATTATCAAAGCATGATGGCAAGAAAATATGACAACCAAATAGCAAGATACAAAGTAAATGCAACAATAGATAGTAATACACATAGAAGAATAAGGAACTACGCACTTACCAAATAACACCACTAGGCCCTTCCCTCTACCACATAAAGTGCAACAACACTCGCCTACCTACTAACCTTCTATCCTAATTCTCGACTTCCATACTTTCCTATCTAGGGTCATGTCCTCAATAAACTGAATTTGTGCCAAGTCATGTCGGATCACCTAACCCAGCTCTTTTTCGGCATACCTCTACCTCTCCTAACTTCTGCCATAGCCAATCTCTCACACCTACTAACTGACGCATCCGTGCACCTCCTCCTCACATGCCCAAATCATCTGTCTCACTTCTCGCATCCCACTTTACACATTTAGGTTAATATCACTGAATTTCCCCGATTCTATCATAATTAGGAGTCACGGTGTTTAGGTCAATTTACCTTGTATACCACTTCGGGGAGAACACCCCATACGCATGTGATATCCCAAAAAAAGTAGAAAATCTAAGCAGAGATGATTCTCTACAAAAGACTCCTAATTATCTACCTTACCACACTTAGGTACATCGGATTCCTAACAGGGTTCAGTATTCTGAAACTCTTAACACTACAGAAACAAGATGTCACATTGCAAAAAGAAATGAGATGTCACATAGCAGAAAGATATGAAAGAGAAAACATATGAAACCCGCTAGTCCATATATTTTGGTTATTTAGGAAGCAAGAACGAAGGGTTGCTACAAATATATGGACTCACAGGCACACACCAAGTCGGTCCATGCAATATACAGGGAAGACGTGGTAGTCGGTCTTTAACATAAACTGGATTATAATGCTAGAATGATTCTACCATCAAGGTGTCGAAACCTAAGGCAAGGTGTCTATCCTAAGGGTAAGAAATGATCTATTGGAGTCTGCATGCAATCATTTTGAAAAAGATAACGACAATATTGAGGTATTAAATTTGGAGGTTCATTTTTCACTGGATTCAGGACAGTTGCAGCAGGTTAGAAACTAGGAAAAAACTACACCCTTCTCAGAGTAAGGGTCTCTCAAAGCCAACAGGAAACTGCAAAACTGCTGGAAATGCACAGGAGTTAAAGTACGAAAGACAAACAGTAGCCTGCAGGAAATCAAGTTAGATTTCTGGAAAGAATTTACAACAAAAGGTTACCTGCCGAAGGATGTAATCATAACCAAAGCTTGCTGTTACATCTCTTGACATGTAGTTGTACATAAAATCTGATGCTAGAGACACCTGCATGGAAGGAAAGAGTTCAAGAAAAGCAAGTCACAAATGCAATTGTTAAGCTACTAGTGACTCTTACAACCTTATCAGAAATTTTCTGAACATAACTCAGTGCAACCATTCCAGTACTAGCAACTTGCCCTGCAGCAACCTGCATATAAATTAACAAACACTGAACAATGTGAAAACCATTAAAAAAAAACATGGAAGATGAAATACACCTACAAAAAAGACAACTACAAGAAATTAATGCTGATGAAATCGACAAAAGAACATATAATAGATATGTTTTCTCTTTGGGAGGGTTTATACTCAGAAACATGAATATTTTGATGTTCCTGTTTGACATAACATTGAAAATACCAAGTCAAAACGATATAATACAAATCCTTTTGCATCTGGAAGACCTGCAGTTCAATTTTATTCTAGAGCTATTCATACAACAGATGAAGGAGAATAATGACACACTGCCCTTGATGTTATAGCTACTGAAACAACTTACTCAGACAAAGCAATCAATCAAATATCTAACTTGGGCATGATACATATTAGTTTTCTGGAAGGACTTTAATTGAATTTAAATAGAAGTCTTCTCAATCAACTGAAATAGTTAGCAAGTACCAAAAAGAACTAATTGTAAAACAGCAATGAAATTCAAGCTGCTACCATGTATTACCAACACAATAACAGTAATTACAACTACACCTCAATCCCAAACAAGTCATTCATCATTTGAACAAATATTATAATGCCTCGAATCCAGATAAAAAATTTCTAACATCTAGTATTAGGCAGAATACCATTTTATCCGTGTTGTAGCGAGCAGCATAACCAATGCCAGATTTCCGATGCTGACCAGCCCAGAACACTTCCCCACCCAGAGACAAATGTGGACCGACACTCTGCAAGAGCACATAAAGGTTCAGTTAGCAAAGCTAAAAACATAATACCACACAATTTATCTGCATATGATATTGACCCTTCTATAAGGACAGCTTTACTCATCCTCTGGTATTTAATACGAACCACAAGGAACCATGATTGACCAATAGGTGGTAGATGATATCAAACCAATTTATCAGATATCCTGGCAGCCCGAAGGGACAAAAGCGAAAAATAATATTGCTATAGCATTTGCAATTTCCAATCTTTCATTACTGTCTCAACTCTCCAATTTAGAGGATGACACTAAGTTTGTACTTTGTAGTCGAGCGGCCACCAAGGAACAAAACCCAAAGAAGCAAATTACTAATAGCAAGCTTTTATAAGAAGGTTTAAACACAGTCTTTTATAATTATTGATAATATGGAAGCAACTTCACCATAAAGAAGAGCATAAAGCAATGGTACCTGTAGAAGCTCACCTATACACATTGTGCCCAATTATTTAAAGAATTCATCTTTTAATTCCAAAACACTTTTCAGCAAATGAGCCAATGTGAGTGGGGACATTTAAATTATAGTAATCCAAGTTGCCAACCATCAAAGACATAGGGGAGGCCCCATCCTCTTTAAAAGGGGCTTATATCTGCACTATCCTTGCCATACTTTCCTAGTCTATTCAGATCTTTCCTCCCAATGACACAAATAGACCATGCAGCGTTAAGACACCTAATCCGACAACTATGAACAAGGAATTTCCACGTTGAAGTCTTCCGCCAAGGGATGACCTCATCAAAACAAACTCTGAATTACACAAAAATAAACCACATATATGCCTAACCACCACTATCCATAATGCTCGTTCACACCCAAAACCATGTGTCTACCACACCACTCTTCGCGCTTTGCTTGGTTTTCCATCATCCAATCCACAATAAATCAAATGAAACCCCACCTAAGAAACTTCGCTGGGATGTCAATTGATCCCTCACAAAAAAAAAAAAAACAATTTTAGTTGATGTCAATTACTGTCCAGAAAGAAGTGCAAATGACAAACTTGAACTCATGTCATTTCTTACCAAAACAATGGTGTCAAACAGATGTCACAATTACAGCTACTCATTGGCTAGCTTAAATAACAGTGTAAATGATGGTGGAAATTGTCTACTATTCAGTTGGTCGTTCTGGTAAGAAGGTAAATGATGGAGGTTTCCTTTAAATGTTTTACTTTTGTAAAGTAATGGGTATGTAGTTGATGCAGATTGAGTAGCATGACACTGTTCTCATCACAGAGAACATTTTGTGGCCAAAGGGAGACAGAGTGGTTGGCAGTCCCTTCTTGTCATCAGGGGTTGAGGGAACAGGATGAGGTCTAGATACTAAAGCTAATAATTAGTAAAGAAACACTTAAAAAGTATTATTCTAAGTTATCAAGGAGTTGTTAGAGAATGTGACCCACATTAATCACTAGTGTCTTCTTCTCTTCTTAGCATTTAATCCAATTAAGTAATCTGATTTTTCACAAACTACATTACCATTGATCTCTTATTGATGCTATAACAACCCCTGATGGTTCCCTTTGCTCTCTCTCCCAGTCACTAGGCTTTTAATTCCAGTTGACAGCACAATGTCACACATTATTATCTTTTCATTTTTAAACCTAAACGCACACTTGTAAGTGAAAAAACACTATTCCAACTCATCGTATCAAGTACGACAAAATTTACTGAACCTTTGAAACTTCATGATACATCGTGTAACTTGAGGACATAAATGTCTGACGCATTATAACAGTTCATATACATAATGGACTGAGAAAAGGTCATTTACTTTCTGACATACTTGATATATCCCCACAAGTGGGGCCTGGGGAGGATGAAGTGGTGTATGCTGACCTTACCCCTACCTTTGTGGGGTAGAGATGCTGTTTCCGATAGACCCTCGCCTCAAGAAAAACGTTTTCTAGAACAGTTTGGGAGAAAATGCCAAGAGTCGAACGCTATGATGGAAATATTGAAGAAAAATAAGTATCAACAGCAATGAGGAGTAACCATACCTGGATGTAGCTGGCTCCAAGTAATGCACCATTGCCAAGTTGAAATTGAGTCCTGTAGTCTTTACCCTTATAAACAACAACAACAATGAAAATATACAACAATCATTATTCCCAAGTCAAATGGCCCGCAACATGGTATGAGAATAGTACAACTTGAATGAAATAGGAAGAGTGACCAGAATAGCCTGGATGGATCAATTAAATCTTATGAATTATATGCACGAAAATCCTTGCATAAACAGAGAGAATAATTACCTTGTAATCGAAATTAACCATGCCATGTGACATGTGTGGTTCACCAGTCAGCTGTTAAGAAGATAGTAATTATGAGACATACAGTCGCTCCACATAATTATGGAAGGGAAAGCAACAGCTGCAGATATCATTTAATACCTGACCATTGGCTTTCAATGAAAGATTCTCAGATAAATCACACTTCACCCTAGCATTCACCCTACCATCTGTCATTACTCTCCCAATAAGCATCATCTGTAGCATTAGTAGGATGTCATTGTCGCCACTATTTGATCCTCAATGAGTTCAGGCAGTTGGAAAAATAAAATTCAACTACAGACCTGTGGATCTATAAAGTTGGCACCAAACTCATAGTGTGCAGTTGGTATTTTGACGATGTCTGCAGACTGAGTAGGAAGTTCTGTAGGCCCCATAAAAACACTGATAAAAGGTAAGAACACAATTGTTATCACTAAGAGAACACCTCTTCCCCTCGAGCAATGGAGGGATCATAGCTACAAATATAATATATTTGTCGAGTATATAAAATCTACCTATGACTGAGTGAAAATCTCTGATTAAGTCCTTTGGTAAAATCAAAACGCAGTCCTTCAAAAAGCTCGGGCTTTAAAGACACTGCCAATAGAGACATGAATTAGTTATTTCCTTCACCAAAACAATAACAATAATATAGGAGTGTCACATTTAAGAGCACCAAAGCTGATTACATATGAACATGAAAGGAAACACTATAACTGCAATAGAAGCACTGCATTAATTTAACTTTATAGTGGTTTCAACAACCAGCTCTCCAGGTTTTGATAAAGAAGACTACTGGACACAACTTTACATGTACACACAATGAATCAAACAACTATTAGCCCACCCTCTTTTCCCAAATGCAAGGTTGAATTAGAATGTAGAGGCAGTATTTCTTGCTAAATCTAGAGCATTCACAACAAACACACAACTAAACACAATCTCAAACCAGTTGAGGTCAGATATATGAATCTTTTTTATCCATTCTGCTCTCTATGCAAGCCCATTTCATTCCATACTAAATAGAAAATAACTTCTCCAAATCATAGACTTATTCCTCTATAAATATCTAACTAGAATACAATGAATACTGGAAAAAAAAACCCTAATGTAAGTGTAACAACAATAACTACGCCTTTGTCCCAACTAGTGTTATCGCATATATGGATCCTCACTTCCATTGTGTTCTATTCTTAGCTCACATGATTATGAGAGATTGTATGTGTTGTGATACAACTTCTGTGCATGTAGTTTTAGGTCAATCTCATCTTCTTTTTTCTCAATTTCTGTGTATCATCCTAGTGGGGGCATGCTAATCTCATCTTCTCTTTATTATCTTCCATCATCAGATTGTCATATGTAGTTCTATGCTAGTTCCATGGGGGTCGTGCTAAGCCCAGAGCCCCAGACCCAAATTCAAAATATAGAAGTAGTAATTTTAATTAAAGATGTACAATTTGTACCATATTTTTACTTTATAACTAATATAATCTAATGGCACGTTAAACATATCTTGTTGATAAGTCTTCATAATTATTAAAATTCTTAATCACATAAATGGATAACTTTAAATAAAAAGTTATTAATGAGGAAGTAAGTTTGGCCGGAGAACTAGAAAATATCAAAACGACACAAGTGATTCGATATTGTATTAAATAACCTGATTTAAAATATGTAAATAATTATAATTCAATGAAGATCATAAAAAAAAATTATTGGTATTTTGCATGTTTTTCTTAGTTATAGATAGAAATGAATTTATTTCGATATTTATTATGTTTTAATTCCACTAATTATTTCATGTGCCAAGAGTTCTTGTAAAATTCATTTGTTGTAACACTGGATATATTGTTGTTGTATAGGATCATATATAATTTACCCCGACCCCACTTGTGGATTACATATTACACTAGGTATGCTGTATAGAATCATCTATTACAACAAAAGTTTCAATGATTGTAAATGTATATTATAATAGTTATAACTTCAATTTGGAGCCTTCACATATATTATAACTTAATAACGATCTTACAAGGATATTAATAAATAATAATTGAAGTACATTAATGACGTACTCCATTCAGTCCATTTAACTTGTCATGTTTACTTTTACACGCCCCTTAAAATACCCTTATCCATCCCATTTAATCATCGTTTTAGCTTTTTTTTCATGCCCAATAAGAAACATAATAAAAACAGGGTATTACCTATTGAGTTACCCTGTTTATTAGAAGTTTTTTGAGAATTGAACAATATTAAAAAGAAAAAGAACTATGAGGGTATAGTTGAAAATGCTTGCATACTTTAATTTTATACTAGAAAAAATTTGGGGTAATTTTTTTGAGTTGAAGTGACTATTAATTTAAAACGGAGGGAGTATTAAATAAAAGGTAATCTAATAAGTGGCAAGAAGAGATTCATACAAAGTTCCTACTAGGTTACACCAATTACAGAGGCCCGGGTGGGAACGGTCTTAGGAATAAGAGTTGGGGCAAAAATCAGAATATGCAAGAAAAAAGAAACATCAACTGCCAAGTGTGGCAACTTCACATCACCAAAGAATTGGAATTCTAGATTTACCCCAAATCCCCAATGAAGACTACAAACTTATTATTCTCCCTTAAAAAAAAGTGCCATACAATCATAGACGGCCTTCTCTTACTTTGGCATTCTACATGTGCTAATTTTATCCTCTATAGGACATGATCATTCCTAATCTATTTTCTTATATCAAGTACAGTATAATTTTGTTAATAAGAGAGAAAGCTCCCGTATACAAGAGCTATACCAAAAAAAAAAGAGAGAATCAACAAAAACATATGATATAAGAACCTCAAGTGCACCAAAAAGACAAAACATTTATGAAATTAGTCCTTGGATGTATGAAATCAAGTTCCTTCCTTTCAAAAGCTCTTCTGCGACTTCACATTCATTTTAACATCTAGATTTTAGTGACACTGATCTTAGGATATACATGACCTTGTAGACCCAACATTCACTATCATATAAATTATTCCTCGGATGTACGAAATCATGTTCTTTCCTTTCAAAAGCTCTTCTACAACTACACATTCATTTTAACATCTAGATTTTAGTAATATTGATCTTAGGATATACATGGCCTTGTAGACCCAACATTCACTATCATATAACATTGTTCCTCTCAAAATCTACAACCACTCTACAAACTAATTTTCATTTTGTTAGGTTTCTTCTTGTCGCATTACACGCTTGTAAGAGTCCTCTATTTTAGTTATCTTATATCTTATTATATTATGTCATTTACCTAGAAGACTAAATCTAAATATCTAGATTATGTTGTTCTTGCATCACCTTCCTTCTTATGCAAGTTATACTTTACGATACATATATGGTTTAACTTCCCATCCTACAATTCCAACTTTTTCGATCCACTTGTCAGTCATTTTGTCAATAAGACAATTTCATTTGTACATATCTTGCAGACTTGCACCATGAAACCTAATTCCTACACCATTGGATGCGACATAATATTATAAGTTGAAACTCCATACTTTAAATCACATTTTCAATTCTTAGAATACGCTAAAGCAATCTGCAGACAACAAGAAATGAAATACTGCTCAATTACAAGATCCGCTACATAAATCTTCTACATCTATTTTAGTTATCATATATCTTATTCTATCTTGTCATTACCCAGAAGACTAAATCTAGATGTCTAGATTGTGTCATTCTCGCATCACTTTCCTTTTTATGCAAGTTATATTTAGGATACATATATGGTTTATGGTTTAACTTCCCATCCTACAATTCCAACTTTTTTGATCCACTTTTCAGTCATTTTATCAATAAGACAATAGCGTTTGTATATATCTTGCAGAATTGCACCGTGAAACCTAATTCCTACACCATCGGAGGCGACATAATATTAAAAAGTTGAAACTCCATACTTCAAAACACATTTCAATTCTTAGAAATGCAAAGGAACCCAATCTGCAGTTAACAGGTAATCAACTATTACTCAATTACAGGATCCTTTACATAAATCTTCTACATTTATTTTAGTTATCTAATATCTAATTCTATCTTGTCATTCACCTAAAAGACAAAATCTAGATGTCCAGATTGTGTAGTTCTCGCATCACCTTCCTTCTTATGCAAGTTATATTTACGATACATATATGAATTTAACTTCCCATCCTACAATTCCAGCTTCCGATCGACTTGTCAGTAATTTTGTCAATTAGACAATATCATTTGTATATATCTTACAGACTTGCACCATGAAACCTCATCCCTAACCATTAGAGGCAACATAACATTAAAAGTTAAAACTCCATACTTAAAATCACATTTCAATTCTTACAACACGCAAAGCAATCTGCAAACAACTGAGAGCTTCTCAATTACAGGATCCGGCTACATAAAGCTTCTACATCTAATCCACTCTATTCCAAACCATTTACCGCTACATCCTTATAAATTATATACATCCATTCCACTCTACTCAAACCAATTTCATTAAATCTTAAAAGCAACAACTGATCATAGGCGAGAAGTAAATGATAGCAATACTACCTGAGAGCTTCTTCTCAATTACAGGATACCTAAACCTTCTACACCTAATCCACCCTATTCCGAACCATCTCAACTATACTGCCACATCCTTATAAATCATAAATATCCATTTCACTCTACTCAAATCAATTCCATTAAATTTAAAAGCAACAACGGATCATAGGCAAGAAGTAAATGATAATAATACTAACTGAGAGCTTCTCAATTACAGGATCCAGCAACATAAATCTTCTACATTTAATCCACTGTATTCTGAACCATTTCAACTATACCGCCACATCCTTATAAACCCTATACATCCATTTCTCTCTACTCAAAACCGATTTCATTAAACTTTAAAAGCAACAACTGATGATAGGCGAGAAGTAAATGATAATAATACTAACTGAGAGCTTCTCAATTACAGGATCCCGCTACATAAATCTTCTACATCTAATCCACTCTATTCCAAACCATTTCAACTACACCACCACATCCTTATAAATCCTATCCATTCATTTCTCTCTACTCAAACCGAATTCATTAAAAGTTAAAGCAACAATTGATCAGAGGCGAAGTAAAAGGACAGCAATACTAACTGAGAGCTTCTCAATTACAGGATCCAGTTACATAAATCTTCAACCTCTAATCCACACTATTCCGAATCATTTCAACTATACCTCCACATCCTTAAAAATCGTATACATCCATTTCACTCAACTCAACCGAATTCATTAAATTTAAAGCAACTATTGACAGAGGCGAAGTAAACGATAAGAGTGATACTAGCTGAGAGCTTCTCAATTACAGGATCCGGTTACATAAATCTTCTACATCTAATCCACTCTATTCCAAACCATTTCAACTATACCGCCACATCCTTGTAAATCATATACATCCATGTCTCTCCAATCAAAACCGATTTCGTTAAAATTTAATAGCAACAAATGATCAAAGGAGAAGTAAAAGGATAAAAATACTAACTGAGAGCTTCACGATGGATTTCTTCATAAGGAATTGGACAAGGTAAGTTCAGGTAATCAACTTTCTCTTTCTCCGATTCGACGGCTGCCGACCTTGAATTCGCCGGTGGAACTATAACTGACGGAGGAATGAGAGTAGCCATTGCACAAAAATAAATTAATAAAAAAAAAGAAGGAAGAAATTTGATTCTGTTTTCCTTCTTCTTCCTCCTGACTGCGGCTATAAAGGAAGAAAAACTCAGTAGAGTGAGAGAAGTAGTAAAACCCTTCTCCTAAATACAGAAAGAAATAAAACCCTTAAAACTTCGGTAGACCCGACCCGTTTTTGAGTGGCTTCATTTTTCATGTGACATCTGGAAGTACTTTTTTTTTCTTATAGGAAATGGGATACATATACTCCCTCTGTCTCATGTTCCAATTTACGTGACAGTTTTCATTTTTTGAGAGTCAAATAATTTAAGTTTGGTCAAAAATTTACGCGTAAAATCTTCAATTTTTTTGAAATGAGATTTATACATTTGTAAATTACGTAAAAAGTATTATAAGTCATAATAATTGGCAATTCAAAATAATTAAAAAATATATGAAAAATTTACGATTAAAGATAGACTTTTTAAATTTCAAAATTGAAAAGTGTCACATAAATTAGGACGAAGGGAGATGTAAGATGGTAAAAATTAAATTAAAAATTATATATAAGTACTAGTTTTAGACATGTTATTGCATTGCATGTGTATATCCACGTTAATATTTCTAAAACCTATATATTAGGTTAAGATGATAAATATATGTCATCTGCCACTTTTAATTGTGGTGTTGCATTTTTTGAAAGTCAATTTGATTAATTTTCAAAGTTAAATTAGATTACATTGCTTCGATATTTTAAACAAAAAATCTAGATATTTAAAAACTATACGAAAAGTACTATAAATTTCAATTTTTGCATATTAATATGATGAAAAAAATACATTGTAAAATGCTAGTCAATGTTATTATAGTTTGACTCTATAAATGGAAACTATAACAACTAAAATTGAACAGATATAATATATACTTACTATTTATATATTGATAGTATAAAAACACTCTTAAACCGTAAATTTGTGCATAGAGTTAACTTGTTTTAATATATATATATATATATATCTACTTATTACTTTTGTATCATTTGCTTACTACATTATTGTTGCCTATTCATATTTCATATACTAAAACTAGCTAATGATTCTATCAATACATTGTGATTGCGTATTGATACTATATTTGTTGAGTACAGAGCATATTCAGACGGCTATTTCGCGACCTCAATCATGAGACAAGCGATATATGAATATAAGGGTGAGTTAACTTCCCCCGGAAAGCCATGGTTTCTTTCCTATCTCGTTGTCCATCTTTTCATACACAAACATTTTGGACTTTAGACTTATATTTTCTTGTTGGGTTACATCCCATTATTCGAGACTTGCTAGATGTTTTGGGAGTATAAATTTTATGGAGTTGATTTTGATATTAATTGAGTTTATGAGAACTTGATTTTAAAAAAATTAAATTTGTTCTTCCTAGTGTTTTGTATCATGACTTTGTTTCTAAAATGGTTTGACGGGTAGAGTTTGGATTGGTAGTTGGTTGTTACACCGAATGATTAGTATATATGAATTTCACTCACAACGGGTCAGGATTGTAATAAAGAGATTGTAGGACAATCATATGCAATGACGCCCCATCAAGATTAAATCTTGAAGTTTGACATGTAAGTGCATATTGTTGCATCAAAATATATGACACTGATTATTATTTTTTTCATACGTTCCAATAAATAGTTGTAATTACAATTATCACTTCAGTCTGTGTCATATTTTCTAAAAGATCACCATTACGTGAATTGAGCTATTATATATCATTATCATTGCAATGAAGCTTTAGAACCTAAATTGCACTTATTTGAACGTTCAGAACTTGGTCATTCTCATGTGTGGATCAGCTGAAACAGTATTAGTATAACCTCAAACAATAGTTTACGTGTTTACCGTAATAGGTGTCAGTGTACAAGCTCTAGCAGGAGCCAAAGCTCATTATCTACCTTTGCCCCTACATTAACCACAAATGCATGTCATCATCATTTACGAGAGATTGAAGCAAAAAAAAAATGTAGAGTTCAATAGTTAAAACAAAATTACATGATAAAGAGAGTAAAAGATAAAAATTCTCTTAAATGTCTTGTAGCTTATAAAAAATAAGTACATATAATTATATTTATATTTATATTGATTACACGATTCTACTAAATATTATTCGTTACTAATAAGACTTGTGAAACATAAGACATTGATATCATCTTATCATGTTTGAATTTACCTAATACACGATGATATTAAATTCAAATCTATTAAGTGAACTCGATAACTATTTTTAAAAAATATTTATTGAAATACTATAATCGAGTTTGAAAGTAGAAATTTGTATAAAAACGTTTAAATCAATATAACATGAAAAATCTGAAACACCTAAAAATGACGCCACAAGTCGTGAACATTTAATGCAGTAACATTATATTTGTCTTAATACAAATATCATTTAAAAAATAAGAAAAAACTTCAAAGCATTGTAAATTTTCCCTAATTGCTACTCGTTTGGTAGACGGTATTAAATAGAATAATCCATGAAGTAAAATTTAATCCATCTAATATATTGTTTGGTTACTTTATTTTATTTAATCCATGGATTGCTTATACACCATATGTGGTCTTATTTTATCCCTAGTAAATGGAGGGATAACTAATCCAAGGTTTAACAGATTTGTTAAACCTTGGATAAGACCCCTAAATGACAAAACTATCCCTTTGTTCATTTTCCTAATTTTTTGTTGTAATTTAATTTTCTTTCTATTTAAATTGTATTAATTATAAATGTTCTTTTTAGTTCTCCAAATTCGTTTAGTGTAATTTAATGATTTCACTAATATTTTTTTCTCCTTTTTTTATTCAATTTAGTTCGTCGATTAACCACTTGAACTATTTTTTTTTAATAAGCTTTAGCTTTTGAACAATATAAGTAGTCTTAAATCTATATTAAGTTTAAGTTATATTTAACCAACAAAAAAATAAAAATACACCATGTCAGCAAGGATCTCCTTAGTGGTACATCATACCTCAAAATTATATATATATATAT